GAGGAAAGGCAGTGGATAAAAGTGAAGCATTTAGGTAATGTAAATTATCAGAAAGTTTCTATTTTTTGGATTGAGTGGTGGGTTCAAGGACATTCATCATGTTATTTATAAATAAAAGCTTAAAGGATGGACCCTTTGGTGGACCATCGAAAGACCACCATGCATAAACTATTGATGTTTGTGTGTTATGAATTAAGGATCATGATTAAACCAATTCTATGTGCTCAAGTTCAAAGAGAAAGTGTTAGTAATAGCAAATATTTATATAGTGTTAACCATGTACTAAATATACTGTTCTGTTTGTATGTTTTAACTCATGCGGTACTCCCAGTGAAGAAATTCCATGATTATTCCCATTTTGTAGATTAGAAAATCAAAGCCCAGAGAAATTAACAGTAACTCTACTGATACCCACAGCAGAGTTAGGATTAATCCAGGCTGACTGGTTCCAGAGTCCCTGCTCTTAACCACTGCTCTATAAGATGTTTAAATAAATGACAGAGATAATTATATTAGGGGTTAGTCATGGAGGAGTAGTTATAGCAGAGTGTTTTCTATAATAATGTTAAAGGATTAAAAACCACTGAGTTGTATACTTTAAATGGGTGAACTTTATGGTATGTAAATTATGTCCTAATAAAACTGTTCAAAAAATAAGCCCACAAGCCACAAAAGAATAAGTGACTTTATAATGCAAATTGGGTCCTAAATGATTGTTTGCTATTTTAGGGATTTCATATATGCTTATGGATAAAATGTGTACTTTTTCTGCAAACTAAACAAAACAAACCTGTCACTTTATGAAAAGAGATGAAATAGAAAATTGTAATCTGTTATTGTGGGTAAGAAAAAGTTCAATTGCAGCTTTAGTCCTTTTTGCATCTGACAAAAAAGAAATGGCTCTAGTTCCCAAGATAAATTTCATATTACAATTAAAGTTGTCTATGTGTATACTAAGGATACACAAATAATAAAATGTAAGATGATAGAAGACATTTGACTGAAAACATACTAAGATCATTTAATTTTGCAGTTTTATTTTATAAGCATAACTTTTACTTTGCTTTTTCCTTTTTTAAAAAAAATATTTATTTATTTATGCATACAAGAACTGGGGTATAGGCCAGAGGTGTGGGGGGTGAGAGGATCCACCAGAGACAGAGTGGGGAACAGAACAGGCAGACTGACTAAAATACACTGCTGAGGGGAGCAGCAGGCCAGTCAGGAGAGGTCTATTAGGCCATGTGGGTCAGCTCCCTGGCAGGGGATCGTACTCGCTCCAGTGGCTGTGGATAGCTTCATAGTGCTGCATCTTTTTTTTTTACTTAATATATTTTATTTTATATAATTCTTACATCATTTTTCATTTTTGCACAATGTATGCATTTTCATTTTGGCTATGCATAGTGCTGCATCTTAACCCCTTGCGCCACCAGGAGACCCTGTTTTTTCCTTTTAAATGTAAAACTAATTTGAAAGGAGATAAGCCACATCTTCTGGAGAGCTAGTTGTGGCTACTCCCCTGCTGGGCTGTATTCCTCTAGGGACTTTGAGTTGTACAGTTCCAAGGGGCCAGCACTGATGCCAGAACCAGCCACTGCAGCTTTTCCACCTCACTATTTCTTGGTTTTTGGCAAGGCACTAAGAGGAGAGACCAGCATTATGCTGCTGTGATACTCAGAAAATCTCTTCGTAGCTTACCTAGGTTTTCATGACTATGAAAGATTTTTCTTACCCAGGTCAGCCTTAAAAAATTGGGCACAGATCACAAGGAGGCCAGATGTAAGCTTGGACTACCTCTCAACAACTCAATCACCAACATCACTGAAAGGATTCAAAGTCTTTGCCTGCTAAACTATGGGTCACTTTTACCCTTTCTCAGCCCTCTCTCTCAAGTACCAATGTGAAAATAGGCTGACACGACCTCACTAAAACGGCTTCACACTTTAAAGAGCATAAAAGGAAAGGAAAACAAAACAACAATCGTTTATTTTAATTACAGCATAGATCAACAAATTTTGCCATTGTTCAGTTCTGTCCTGGGCATTCTCTCTCCTACCCACACTCCTTGTTTCTCTCTCCTCACAGCCCCACCCCACCCCAACACTAGCTGTATTTTGGCTGTTACTATCCATAGTAACATAATCCAGACCCTTTTCCTGTCTATGCATAAAATTTACCAATTCTTTTGACACACTATCACTACAAGCCTTTCTGCTTGTAGATGCTACAAGCCGCTGTGGGCAGTGGCTTCCATCAAGCTCCCTATATTTCAAATGGCAAGTCACTTAGACTGACAGAGCCTTAGATACTGCCACACACCTTAATACCAGGCCCCTGAATTCTCTCCCTCAACTACAGTGCTTCCTCCATCTTTATCATGATGTTTGGGAAACTATACTGATTTGTTTGGTCATTACCTTTTTCTTTGATTAGTGAGTCACCTTCACAGGTCAATTTAGAGCAAAAATAATCACTCTGGAGTCTGGTTTATTTGAATTGACTATTACATTGAGTAATAAGATAATGGCTTTACTTCAATCTTGCATTGTATTAATATAAACTTGAAACAGATTAAAACCTCCTATGTAAGGCTTTTTCTTTGAATGCTCTGTGCTTTTACGAATAATGTGTTCATTTTTTTTAATCCTCTAGCATCCTGATTTTTATCTTTAAATATAATTTCCCACTAAAAGGAACCAGAACTCCTGGAGACATGGCTAATTCCATGTCTGGAGCAGGAAATATACCAGATAAGCCTGGAACAAAATAATGAAGTGAGGAGAGAATGGGAAGAGTGTAGATGAAACAATATTGACATGATTTGAAAATTGTTGAAATAGGGTGTTGAGTACATGTATTCTATTTTTGTATACTTTTTCCCTGGAAGTCTTGTTAAAGTTAAAAATTAGTATTTTTAAAAACAAAATTTACAGCATGCATGTGTTGAAACAAGGTTTTTTTTTTTTTTTTTTAGTAATTCATAAGGGTATAAAATAACAGAGTATCACTCCCACCAGAGCCTCAAGCCCCACTTCCACAGTGTAGTCTTGGTAATGATTTCCCAAGTATTCTCAATGAAATTTCTATGAGTCTATTAAAATATGCATGTACATATATATTTTTAAACCTTCAAGTAGTAGCATATTATACATATTGCTCTCCACCTAACGAATCTTTATTTTATTTTTAAAGATTTATTTATCTATGTATACAAGAGCTGGAGTACAGGCCAGAGATGCGGGAGGTGAGAGGATTCACCATACACAGAATGGGGAACAGAACAGGCAGATCCACTGAAATACACTGCTGAGGAGAAGCAGTGGGTGAGTCAGGAGAGGTCTGCTGCGCCATGTGGGTAGCTCCCTGGCCAGTCCGGATCGAACTTGTGTTGCAGAGGCTGCTGATTGCTTCATAGTGCGGTGCTTAACCCCTTGCGCCACCAGGGAGGTCCCAGATTTTTATTTAATAGTTAGTTTTAATACAATGAGTGTATCTACATACTACACTAACATGGATTTTTATTCTTTTATATACTGGGTTCTTTCAAGCTTCCTTGATCTGTATAAAAGGTCCACATCTTCCTTTCAAGATTCTTTAGAAAGAGAACAGCCAAGGCAGGGTTAAACAGATTGCATCCCTTATCTAAAACAGTTTTCGAGTTCAGATTTTTGGGGGGACAATATTGGTACCGTGGAAAATGTCACGGGCAAATACATCCCATTCCCTAGGCGTGGTGGTTAGGAGAGGATCGGTACAAGATCTCACTCCCTCTGCCCCGAGTGCACCTGGGGAGACAGCAGAAAACCCAAGCGTTGTAAACTCCGCACTCCCCACCTCCACCAGGCGGGAGCGCGGCAGGACAGAGCCCTTCTGCGATCTCCCCATCACCAGCCCTCGCACCGCTGTTGCATTGTCTGATTCTGCCAGGTCTGTGGAAAGAATGGAAGCCGGGTTATGGACAGTGATGGCGAGAGCCAAAGGAAGTGAATTTAGACCGCAAGTTGGCCGAGCTACTGGATTCGACCATAAACTAACCGGATGCGGGGAGGCACCTGTGCATAGAGAGTACCTTTCACTCGATTCCTCAACGGGGAGGAGCAGTCGCTACAGAATAACCAAAAAAAAAAGCAAAAAAAAAAAAAAGCTACAACACGGAATTTGAAAATCTACGTGCCCTGGCAACATAAAGCAGCCAGCACAGACGCGTCTGTCGCGGAGCAGCCAGCCCGGCCAAGCCTGAGGGTGGCGAGGCTGGCCGCACCGTCACCCCCTCGGTACCCCGGGAATTTGGGCGGGAACAGGGAACCCCGCGAGCCGGGCGCCCGAGCGAGCCCGTCCGGCGCCGCTTCCCAGCGGCGGGACCTCAGGTCGCCCCGGGGCGTTAGTGAACCCCGACTTCTCGGCCGGCTGCTCCCGGGAGGCGCCGCAGGCGGCAGAGCCCGCGGGCCGCGCCTCCTCGCGCTCGGGAAGGTGGGGCTTTTCCACGCCGTTCGCGACGAGGCCACAGAGATTAAAATGGTGTCCGCCCCGGGATCTGTGGGCCCCGACAGCGTCGGGCCTGTCCAGTAGGGCGCGGGGAGCCCGAACGTCTCGAGCTCCGCGTGTGGAAGCGCAACCAAGCACGCCCGGGACGGAATAAACGTTTGAGGGGAAAGCGCCAAAAACGTGGGGAGGCGGGGCTGGCTGTCGGTCACCATTTCGCGACGTCTAAGTGACGTCGCACAGCATGCGCGTGCTCTATTCTTTCACCTTCAGTCCTCAGGCCCCCAGCCTACTCCTGCAAGCGAGTGATGGACAGTTACTTGAGCCTATCAACGTGCTTGACAACATCCAATCAAATTTAAATTTCTTTCAGCCGCCGGAGAAGTTGGTCGAACGGGGAGCGCTCTTTCTCTCGCGAGATCGCTGAGAGCCGGCCTCTCAGAGAAAAACGCTGGAACAGATGGCCCAACTTCCCAAATAGTGGGTTAAAGGACGGGGCCACAAACCAATGAAAGGGATGAGGGGGCGGGATCACCGCTCTCAGCGCGCAAGAGGTACCGTTACAGGGCAGACTCTTTGTCCAATCAACGCCTCCAGATCTCGGATCAGGTGACCACAGAGTGAAGGGGCGGAGCTACAACCTGGCGCGAGGAACCGTTAAGATGGACAAAGAATATAGCCAATGAGATACTCTGACTAGGGCGTTGGGAACCCAATAACAGTGGTTGGGCGGGCGCCTCCCCAGAGCGCGGGGAGATGTAAAGACTGACAAACAGCTTTCCCAATGAGACTGTAGAAGAGGCGAGCCAGCTGACCAATGAAGACTGCGGGGCGGGATCCTTTGCCGCGGCGGAGTCCAAGATGGCGGCGTGCGGTTCCGCTGTGTGAAACCAGCGCGGGGCGGCGGGTTAGTCAGCTCCGCGGAGACGACCTCCGACGACCCGCAGCGATGAAGGGAAAAGAGCGCTCCCCAGTCAAGCCCAAACGCTCCCGAGGCGGTGAGGACTCGACTTCCCGCGGGGAGCGCAGCAAGAAGTTAGGGGGCTCTGGCGGCAGCAATGGGAGCAGCAGCGGAAAGACCGACAGCGGCGGCGGGTCTCGGCGCAGCCTTCATCTGGATAAGTCCAGCAGCCGAGGTGGCAGCCGCGAGTATGACACTGGAGGGGGCAGCTCCAGTAGCCGCTTGCATAGTTACAGCTCCCCGAGCACCAAAAATTCTTCGGGCGGGGGCGAGTCGCGCAGCAGCTCCCGGGGTGGAGGCGGGGAGTCACGTTCCTCTGGGGCCGCCTCCTCAGCTCCTGACGGCGGGGAATACAAGACCCTGAAGATCAGCGAGCTGGGGTCCCAGCTGAGCGACGAGGCGGTCGAGGACGGACTGTTTCATGAGTTTAAACGCTTCGGTGATGTAAGTGTCAAAATCAGTCACCTCTCGGGTTCTGGCAGCGGGGATGAGCGCGTAGCCTTTGTGAACTTCCGGCGGTCAGAGGACGCGCGGGCGGCCAAGCATGCCAGAGGCCGCCTGGTGCTCTATGACCGGCCCCTGAAGATAGAAGCTGTGTATGTGAGCCGGCGCCGCAGCCGCTCCCCCTTGGACAAAGATTCTTACCCCCCGTCAGCCAGCTTGGCCGGGGCTTCTGTCGGGGGTCACCGGCACCCCCCGGGAGGAGGTGGTGGAGGCCAGCGGTCCCTTTCCCCGGGGGGCGCAGCCTTGGGATACAGAGACTACCGGTTGCAGCAATTGGCGCTGGGCCGCCTGCCCCCTCCGCCTCCGCCGCCGCTGCCCCGCGAACTGGAAAGAGAGCGCGACTATCCGTTTTATGAGCGAGTGCGCCCGGCTTACAGTCTTGAGCCCAGGGTGGGAGCCGGGGCAGGTTCTGCTGCTTTCAGAGAAGTGGACGAGATCTCACCCGAGGACGATCAGCGAGCTAACCGGACGCTTTTCTTGGGCAACTTAGACATCACTGTGACAGAGAGTGATCTCAGAAGGGCTTTTGATCGTTTTGGAGTTATCACAGAAGTAGACATCAAGAGGCCTTCCCGGGGCCAGACCAGTACCTATGGCTTTCTTAAATTTGAGAACCTAGACATGTCTCACCGGGCCAAATTAGCAATGTCTGGAAAAATTATAATTCGGAATCCTATCAAAATTGGGTATGGTAAAGCTACACCCACCACCCGCCTCTGGGTAGGAGGCCTGGGACCTTGGGTGCCTCTTGCTGCCCTGGCACGAGAGTTTGACCGATTTGGCACCATACGCACCATAGACTACCGCAAAGGTGATAGTTGGGCCTACATCCAGTATGAAAGCCTGGATGCAGCTCATGCTGCCTGGACCCACATGCGGGGCTTCCCGCTTGGTGGGCCCGATCGTCGCCTTAGAGTAGACTTTGCAGATACAGAACATCGTTACCAGCAGCAATATCTGCAGCCTCTGCCCTTAACTCATTATGAATTGGTGACAGATGCTTTTGGACATCGGGCACCTGACCCTCTGAGGGGTGCTCGGGATAGGACACCACCCTTACTTTATAGAGACCGTGATAGGGACCTTTATTCTGACTCTGATTGGGTACCACCCCCACCGCCAGTCCGGGAACGCAGCACTCGGACTGCAGCTACTGCTGTGCCTGCTTATGAGCCACTGGATAGTCTGGATCGTAGGCGGGATGGCTGGTCCTTGGACAGGGATAGAGGTGATCGAGATCTGCCTAGTAGCAGAGACCAGCCTCGAAAGCGGAGGCTCCCTGAGGACAGTGGGGGACGACATCTGGATAGGTCCCCAGAGAGTGAACGCCCACGAAAACGTCACTGTCCTCCTTCTCCTGACCGCAGTCCAGAACTGAGCAGCAGCCGGGATCGCTACAACAGTGACAATGACCGTTCTTCCCGTCTTCTCTTGGAAAGGCCCTCTCCCATCAGAGACAGACGAGGTAGTTTGGAGAAGAGCCAGGGTGATAAGCGAGATCGTAAAAACTCTGCATCAGCTGAACGGGATAGAAAGCACCGGACAGCAGCCCCCACTGAGGGAAAAAGCCCTCTGAAAAAAGAAGACCGGTCTGATGGGAGTGCACCCAGCACCAGCACTGCGTCGTCGAAGCTGAAGTCTCCTTCCCAGAAACAGGATAGTGGGACAGCGCCCGCCGCAGCAGCCTCTCCGAAACTCTGTCTGGCCTGGCAGGGCATGCTTCTATTGAAGAACAGCAATTTTCCTTCCAACATGCATCTGTTGCAGGGTGACCTCCAAGTGGCTAGCAGTCTTCTTGTGGAGGGCTCAACTGGAGGCAAAGTGGCCCAGCTCAAAATCACTCAGCGTCTTCGTTTGGACCAGCCCAAGTTGGATGAAGTAACTCGCCGCATCAAAGTGGCAGGGCCCAATGGTTATGCCATTCTTCTGGCTGTGCCTGGAAGTTCTGACAGCCGGTCCTCCTCTTCCTCAGCTACGTCAGACACTGCCACCTCTACTCAGAGGCCACTTAGGAACCTTGTGTCCTATTTAAAGCAAAAGCAGGCAGCTGGGGTGATCAGCCTCCCTGTGGGGGGCAACAAAGACAAGGAAAACACCGGGGTCCTTCATGCCTTCCCACCCTGTGAGTTCTCCCAGCAGTTCCTGGATTCCCCTGCCAAGGCACTGGCCAAATCTGAAGAAGATTACCTGGTCATGATCATTGTCCGTGGTGCGTCCTAAAGTCCATGTGTAACTTGTATTTACTTCTTTGACATGGGTCCTGTTTTGTGATATGTAATGGGATACAGCATCAGATGATATTTTCTTTTTGATTACTTGTTAAGTTGTAGCTTTTTTTCTTTTTTATATTTTTATAAACCTCTTTAAAATAGAAGTCAAGACAATTTAGCTGTATTTTAAGTGAAAGGGATGCCCTGAAGGTAGCAGGCAGCTGGGTTTGCTTTAATTAGGAGTTCCCAATTTTATGAGTAACTTTTTCCTCTCACTTTTTTTTTTTTAAACCTCGAGCTTAAAAAAGAATTCCTCAAAGTTACAAAACCAAAATTTGGAAAAGTCAGGCTTTTGGAGGAGAGAGCCCAATGACTATATAAAGATGGTAATATACAACTAAAAATGGCTTGATTGGTATGTAGGTAAATAGTCCCTGTGCCAGAAATGTTATTTGTGTGGCTGAAATTTGATCAGGAATCTCAAAAGTGTAAGCTGGTAAATGGTATAGCAATATAATTTTAATCAGGTATTTGAGTATTTCTCTTAAAATATATGGTTTATTCCCAGAGAATTTCCTTAACATACACATTTTATCCTTAGTTCTTGAGTTCTGTATCCCATAAATGCACTTTTGGTTTGTAGCTGTAACTTCAGTAAAAATTGAGGCATATGTTACAAACCATTTATGTCTTACGCTTACACTAGTATGCAAGAAGTGATAGGTGCTTTTAACATCAAAATTCTTTGGTCGATTACTGGTTTGTGGTGGTGTTTCCAATGACTTTCAGAGAGGTGTAGAAGGTACAGTTGTCATTTCATTGTGCATATTTCAAAACTTAAATGTTTTCCATCCAAGTTAAGTTTTGTTTTTGTATCCATTCACATTTCTGACTTCAGTAATAGAAAGAAGAGTTGTCTGCAGGCTCATAAAGTCATCTTTTATTTCACTGGGCATTAATCAGCCATATTGAGATTACAGAATTTTTTAAAGTCATGGTGAAATGCCTTTGACATGCTCTGTAAAACTTTGGCTTGTATTTTTTTTTTCCCCAAGCTTATACAGTAGTGGTTACATTGTTGAAATTGTTTCGATTACCTTGAAATTTCGTGTTTAATATTTTTACCAACCTCAGAATTGAAATGTCAGTGTAGGAAAACCCTTTTTTATTATTTTATTTTCCCAGATACCAGAAATTAATACAGAAGAGCTTAACCTACCCTCACAGGTTTTTTTTTTTTTTTCCCAGAGCTGAAGATTCTATCAACTCCAGGTTCTTAACAAGGGCTTTTGCTGGTTAATAGTAATGGATAATTTTCCTTTTTGTTGGGATTGTTTTTGTTTTTAATCTTATTTTTCACCCTCCTGCCCCCACTCCTAGTTTCTCAGGTCATTAGTATATTTCCCCCCTTGGTTTAAATACCGAGGACTTTAGCTAAAGCCCTTGATAATTATGATTAGAAACTTTAGAAACTTTAGGACCTTTTGGATCATGGTCATGTTTCTGTTCTGTGAAAGTGACTTGTTGAAAGCCTGGCAGAAGCCAACTGTTTTCTTTCTGTTATCAAAGCTGGTAGTTTTGAAATAGCACCAATAATAACCCAGGGAAATGTCATGTAATTTATTATTTTCCGTTTTGACAGGTGTCTAAATGCATGTGAGCATGAGAGCCTCATCACTGCTGTGTCATCTATTTTGATTTTCACTATGCTTTTACAAATTTTTTAAGTTTGGAGGTTTTTGTTTTTAAACTGGAAAAATTAGCCATTTTGAGAGAAGGAAGATGAACACAACGGTTCTTGGTGTGCCTGTAGGGGAAAATACCTGAGATCCTACAGTTAAGACTTTCAGTGCTTTTTGCTTTTAAAAAGCTGTGACTGGCATGTCACTCGAGAGTAGACACCTGCTGAGAAACTAATGCAGGTGTGCATACATGGGGTCAGAGTACAATTTGTGACGAGATACATTTTTCCAGTTTAAATAATCTCACTAACCATTAACTTTTGAATATCTATTGGTAAGATGGCTGGACAAATGATTTTGCTCTTTTAGAGTGAAGTCCATGACTCCTAATTTTTACTGTAATACAAAATATGTGTGGTTTTCTCTTTTTTGTTTTCTTTTTAAGTTGATTGATGTGACAGCTTACTGTGGTTTTTGCTCCATGTTTGTTTGAATCTTTATCTGACATCAAGGCTTTTGTTAGATCTTGGCAATTTGTGCTTCAATGTTTTTTGAAACAATGGCTTGGTACATTTCTAAATGTATGTATTATAAATAACTAATTATGTTTAGTTTGGTGCTTACCTACCAAGTGCCATCGTTAGATGAATCTCTTATTTGTGTTGCCTATTCATAATATGTGTGAGCTATCTACTCAAACCTTCAGAATGGAATGAAAGCAAAAGTCCAAAACTATCTGATTCTAATTCTCATTGGCCAGAATTTCATAATCCCTACATTGGATGTTCTATGTGACAACCGATTTTACTTTTTAGAAAAATACTCGCTTACTTGATTTTTCTGAAACTCAGTTCAAATGAATGGAAAGAAATCTTTTCAATATGTATACCATTTAATGACTTATTAAGTGTTACTGGTAAAAAACTTCAAACTAATTAAGACTTTAGAACTCAACTTCAGAGTTGATGGAAAATTAGGCAATTGTTCAGCCCCTACCCGAATTTTTTTTTTATATTTGTTGGTCGTAATTGGGATTCCTATGAAGAATTTTCCACACAAAATTAAATACCTGGTGTAAGATGTATACTGTAACTGAACTGAGAGTAGATAGAGTTTTCCCTGTAAGGATTACATCTTAAAATTGCTTTGGTGACATTTTGAAGGTAATACACTCTGGCCCTTATTGGCTCAATTAGATCATTTGAGGAATAGTACAAGTAAGGTGTGTTTTCATTGCTTCCAGAGTCAAACACTGTTTAGGTTTATTTAAAAACTTTTATGAGCAAGTTTTCACTGATGATGCTTTTTAAAAAAAAAAAAAAATTAAATTCACGTTAGTTAGACATGACTTGCTCATTATGCAAGTACGGTTTGAACTATAGTTTTTGGGTCCATATAGGAACCATTCACCAAAAACTCTGGTAACAGAATTAGGAAATCCTCTTGAGAAGAGGGCCTTATTGCTGCCTATATGGAAAAAAATTTTCTGGAGAGAATTTCTGGATTTTTTTTTTTTTTCTTTCTCTGTCTCTGCCACAGTGTTTGGCTTTGAGATAGGAGTTAAGTATACAAACAAGAACAAAAGTGTGGAGCTGACTCTGTTAACATTCTGGTTATAGTGATGTCCCTAAAGGGAGAAATTTATTTCAGTAACCACAGTGAACTGTTAAGCATAATGAAGAATTTTATATGTATGATTTAAACAGAGTTGATAAGTAAAAGTCCTAAAGTGTTCTTTGGCTGTTTAGCGATTGTATGAGTGTTTCTTAAAAGAAAGTAACAGCTGCTGTCTTTGGTAACACAGATGAAGGTGGATTTTTAAATGGCTTTATATCTTGAGCCCTTTCTACAAATAACGGAGTATTGTGTTGCTCCATTTAAATTACAGAATGAAATAGAGGAGATAAAAGTTTGAACTCCACCTTTACAGTTTCAAATCAAGTTTTTAAGTTATAATTCAATATATTGATTATAAACTTGCTTTTTCTGAAATTTCTTGACATGGCTTACTCAGTTACATGAGTATAAAGGATAGTTTCAGTCCTTTAATCCTAAATTAATTGCAGTCTTTTAGGAAAAAGCCCACCCTATTATACTTGTTATTTGTCTGTTCATAAAAGGTTTGTGCCAGTGGGTATTATTGGTGCTTTATGAAGTCACGGTGGACTGTCCAGGAAGGTCTTGTTAATGTTTATGTTCATCTATAATGGCATAGGGGAAATATATATATTTTTAATATTGTAAACATTTGTACTGAATAACCTTTTTTTCCCCCCCTGCAAGCAAAACTGGTGAACAGCAGATGAAGATACGGAATTCAAAGCTCTAATGGACCTTTTTGAAGAGAAGTTGTGGCTTATGTGGAGTTTACATGGGCCTCTTGATGGAAGAAAAAGCTAATCTGTTTAGTATTTGTGCATTTTACTAAAATGGCAGCTTAAAGTTGTGTATCTGCTATTGTGATGCCAATGCCGGTGTTTTAAGTGGAAAAAAAATGACCTCTTTGCTTTGTGCTGTGTACACAAGATTTCTGGAAAAGTAAAGAAAAAACCCTTTTTATGGCTCACACAGCTTAAAAGTAGCTGTCACTCAAACGTGCGCTCACAGTTGAGCTGCTTTTGTTTTATTCTAAATAAATTGTTTCTTTTGAGGAAAATGTTTTTCTGCCTGGAAGTGAATTGACGGCAAACCTTTGACCCCTTTGTTTGCAGCTGAGGGGGTACTTGCTGCTGCTCAGATCTTTTAAGTCTTGAGCAAGAAGCAGGGAGACCATCATTTTGACTATTGCGGTGTGTCGATGCTGAAGGATCACTAGTGTTACTGTGACCCCCCTTTGTTTGCAGTGAAGGGGATCATTTGCTTCTCGGTCCTCAACTTGCTGAGGAAATGGTGCTGTTTGCTGGCACACAAGAAGCCGGGGCAAGCACCGTAAGCCTCACCACAGTGCACGAGTCTGGGGCTTTGCTGGTTTGAAGAGCCGGAGTTGCTGAAATTTAAGTTTTGATTTATTTTGTTCACCCATCACGTTTGGCCTTAGTTTCATTTTTAATTTGAAGAAAAGTTTGAAATTGCTTTGTCTTGCACTTAACATTTGCACCAAATTGCCAAAAGAAGGAGAAATGCTCCGCTTGCTTTTAAAATGTTAATGATGATGTTAATAAAACCTTTCCTGACACATTTGAGGAGCTCCTCCATCTCCAGGGGCTTCTTACCAGAGTTATGCAGTGATGGGTTTAGTTCTGAATGGATGAAGAGTTCCTGAGAGCTAGCGTTTGTAATTAGAACCGTTACTTGGTATCTGTGCCTTATTTGACCTGTGGTTCCACATGCCTTGGATGTGCATGCACCGTGACGGTTTCATAGGTACGAACGCACACTCAGGCCCAGTCACTTCGGTTGGTAGTACAGATTGTGAGGAAAAAATGGAGGCATCCTTAAGGAGGAAAAAAGTGTTTGCCTTTAGTTCCTGCATTATCCTGTACAGGGGCTCCTGAGCTTTGGAAGCTGTTCCCAGTACAGGAGAACAACTCCCTGTTTGCCGCAGGAGACTTCGGTGCACAGTGACAACGCTGGAGTTCAAGAGGAAGCCAGCAGTGCTGCACCATTGGCTTCAGACACCATTGTTGTTTGCCAGTTTTAAACTTAACTAGTTGCAGACGAAGACCACCTTGAAATGCAGGCTTGTTGGGCTTGTTTTGAATTTTAACCTCGGATGGAAGAGCCCTAGTGCTGTCTTGCACCATGCGGGATGATGATTACTTAGGCAACAGGTGATTATCAACCGAGGATGCCACGGTTATACTCTGCAAGGTGGTGTTCCAGTGGCAAACAGCTGTATAAACTCTTGTAACCAGGTAAGAGGGTTTTTAGAGGTCAAGAATGCTTTATAATTAATAGGGTGAGGGCTTTTAATGTTTCAGGTATGTTTCTCTGGATGGAATGCCTTAGGCACTCTGCTGCCGTTACTAGCTTCCTCCCATCACCAAGTGTTGTATTTACAAATTCCAAGCCAGAATTTTTGTTCTCCTTGGCATTTTGATTTTTTAAAATATATTTTATTTGAAAAATTTATTTGGAAAAATTCTCTTGATGTGGGAGCTATGTATTAAAATCTTGGTTTTGAATTTGGGACCTACTGCCTTGAAGGCTTAACACTTTGGTAGATTCCATTAACTGTGGCCTTCACCCTAAGTTGTGGTTTGATGATGGTGGAAAAACTTGCTGCTGTAAAAATGTTGCTAGTTATAAACAATGATTTCTAAATCTCCATGTTAAGGATATTATAATACATAGCAAAAAAAAAAAAATGTAATTTATGATACATAGCAAAGAAAAAAAAAGTACCATCATACTGGGAGTGATAATTTAGCCAAATGGTTAGTTTTTTTTTTTTTCCTTGTCCCACAAAGAGATTAATTATAAAATTAGGCAATTGTAACTTTAGGGAAGTGAATAGGCAGTGTTGAGAAAAGCCTGGCTTTTGTCTATTCTTACCATTTTCATTGTACACTTGGTTCTTCTGAACAAAGGTCCTTCCAGCCTCTCGCCCTGACATTGAGTATTGAAACTTTGACATTCTTAGCCCAAGCATAATTTTTTTAGTGTATAATACAACTTAGGGTTCCTTGCTTTGTTTTAAATGGGATCAAAAATTTTGAATAGAATTTTTCTTTTTTGTGATTTTTTTTTTTTTAAAGATGTTTTTCATTTCTTCTAGAGGAGTGATTGTTGCTACAACAGTACATTTATATTAGCTACTCTCCCTTAGGTTTGATTGAACTCCTTGGCTTGTTTAGCTGGACAACTTATGTACATACATTTTAAAACAGTAAATATGGAAAAGTGAAGTCCAGAGGTTTTTTTTGGGTTCTCAGTATCATTGCAAAAGTTTTAAGCATCCATTCATGAGTTGGCTGCCCATCTAAAATTTTTGTTAAGTGATCTCTCACATTTCTTTAAACATTTTATGCCTGTTGGAAATGTGATTTTCCAGTGTATTTTGGTTCTCTGACTAGTTCACACTGAAAACTCATTATTTTTTCTTGTTGGTAAACATCTAGCGATTATGTGTTTGGTATCTTTCTAAGGTCCAGGCTTCAGTTCCAAAAAAAAAAAAAATGTTGCAAGAAGGGGTATTGAGACCATGTCATACAAAATAGTGTCGTACACTGCATTTCTGAAACTCATGAAATAACTTCATTTCCAGCTATTCTATGAAGGAAAATTAATTGGTTTGAGTGTTAGTTGTACAATCATTGAAAACTGCTCTTCTGAATTATTTGTGTGGTTCCCCAGTGTCTTTCCTATAATCCAAGTTTAGAAAATAGTCCTAGTGTAAAGGAAATAGTTCTAAGAGCCCCTCTGAATTGAATTGTGCTCATTTTGAAAGCCTGGATGTAATTAAATTGAAAATAGGGATTATCCTAACTTCAGTAAAACAATCTAGATTTTATAAATTGCCACTTCTATAGGTTGTCACATTGTTTACAAGCTGTTTATCTGAGGCAATAAATTTAGTGCTTATGGCTTTTATGCAGCATTTTCTTTTTGAAAGAGTGTATCTGATTATGGCTTAGCTGACCACCATCTCATCTCCTATTCCAATTTACTCTTAAGTCTCCCTGATTAAAAGACTTTTAAACTTGATAACTTGAATTATAACCTAATTTTAAAGTTTAGCAGAGGTATTTATTAATAATAAAGTTCCTTCAAACCTTAGACAAAATTGCTCTTAGATTTTGACCTTGAGGTAAAATCACTTGTTTCTGCAAATGGCTGTAATAGTAAGCTCTCAGGTAGGGTTTCTGTGAAATCATTTGAATGCTAACTGTTTAATAAGAACTAAGATGCTGAGCTTACAGAAGAAAGTATCAAATAGTCTCTACCGCAATCAAATTTATTCTGGTAGGGGGACACCAGATAAAAAAAGTTAAATATCAGGGGAAAAGGTCATAGTTTAAAATAGCTATATGAAAGGTGTCACTAGTTGTTATTTGATTGATTACTAATGAATTGTTACAGTTCATATGAATAGATGAATGATTATACAAGCAGACTACTTTATTCTGGGATGGTTAAGAAAAGCCTTATGAAAGAATTTGTTGGAGAAGAATGTGGAGTGATGGAGCTAGGGTTTGAAATGTCAGGCAAACATGCATAAACAGTGATACAACAGATTGTTGATGATAGATGGAAAAGATGCAGATCCAGGTTTGTTTTTTTTTTTTTAAGATTCATTTTATTTTTATGCATACAAGAGCTGGGGTACAGGCCAGAGGCGTGGGGTGGTGAGAGGATTTACGAGAGGCAGAGTGGGGAACAGAACAGGTAGACTGACTGAAATACACTGCTGAGGGGAGCAGCAGGCAAGTCAGGAGAGGTCTGCTGTGCCGTGTGGGTTGCTTGCTGGCCGGGGATAGAACTGCTGCAGTGGCTGCGGTTAGCTTCATAGGTTGCGTCTTAACCCCTTGCACCACAAGGGAGGCCCAAGATTTAGGTTTTAACCTAGAAAACTAGTAGGATGGTTGGATCAACAAAGATAGAGACTCTTGAAGGGCAAGCCAGTTTGAGTAGGTGGGATGTAAGGAAGAATAACCAATTGGTACATGCATAAAGCAGCAATGCTAAAAATAGCAATCATTTATTAAATACCCGCTTTAGGCAAAGAATTATGCCAAGTTCTATATATATACTGTCACTCGTAAGTCACCACAGACCACAATCTGACAGCTAGTAAGTGATAGAGCAAGGGTTCTAATCAGATCTTTGTCCCAACTTGGGTTCTTGGTCACTGCTCTCATATCTCACTACTATTTTTTTTTTTTTTTTTGGTAGTCTGGGATGGAATTAAAGCTTCAAATTTGGCAGTGGATTTCAAACTGTAGAATATCAGATTTACGGTTCTTGGGAAGCATACAGGCCCTTGGCTCCTACCCCAGACATCCTGGGATTTGTTGGGCCAGGATGACCCAGGAGTCTTTGTTCTTTTACAAGCTCCCAAGGTAAATCTGATGTAGTTTATGGTCAGTGGCCTTGTGTTGAGCAACACTGACTTGAGAGAGGAGGGTGCTGAAGTATAAACTTGAGGTGATGTCAGTTAAAGCATGGAAAGGGAAGGTGGCACTGGAAAAGCAGCACAGGTAGGAGAGCCAGAACAGTGTTCTGAGTCTGAAACTTAGAGGAAGAGCTTGCAAATGATAAAGTCAAAGCTGTGAACAAGAATAAGCAGAGTGAAACTTCCACAGGACCCGGAACTTATCATTTAACATTGTCACTTAACAGTTTTTAGTTGTGTGATTATTTCTCCAAGGAATTTAGACTAACTTAGTGTTTAATTTTACCTTACAACAGTCTGTGAGGAAGGGCCACTGTTTAATTTATGAAATGCTAAAAAGATACCAGAAAAGTTTATAATCATTCAGGTATACACAGCTAGGAACTGATTGAGTGATCTCTAAGTTTTCAGATGTTAATCTATAAATAATGTGACTTTAGTCTACCTTAAAATTGAAATTGACTCTAGGATTAAGTGTACATTTGTATCTGCATATTTCAGTTATTTTCCATGAATGTTCCCTCACTTATCTCTACTTCCTCCTAACTGTTACTAATAAGATTGAAACAGAAAGGAAATTATAGGTAAAGTTGAGTGTATCTTTGATTTGTCAGTGATTGAAGATTTCCATTTTGAATTATCTTTATGGGTTTGTTTACCATAAGTATAGCTAATTAATTCAAATATTTGGGTATCTGTTGTATGCCTAATAGGCTTTATTTCTAGATTTTAATGTATATTGGTGAAGAAACAGGTTTTTTTCAAGTAGTTTACATTCTGAAGAAAGAAGAGATATAGACAGTAAATTATAAGTTAGGACCTTGCTCTCAAGGGTAAAGGCTTTGTATAGTGTTCTTAGTGCTGGCTGTAAGTAGAAAGTCATTAGAAGTTTTTTTTTTTTTTAAGATTTATTCATTTATGCATACAAGAACTGACGTGTAGGCTAGCCGTATGGGAGGTGAGAGGATTCACCGGACAGAGTGGGGAGCAGAACAGGCAGATTCAATGAAATACACTGCTGAGGGGAGCAGTGGGCGAGACAGGAGAGGTCTGCTGTACCATGTGGGTAAGCTTCTTGGTTGGGGATCAAACTTGTACTGCAGTGGCTGCTGATAGCTTGATAGTGCCGTCATTAACCCCTGCACCATCAGGGAGGCTCCTGCCATTAGAAGTTTTAAACAGGGGGAGTAATGTGATTTGATAAAAATTTGACAGTCTTAGGGCAGTAACAGATTTCCTTCAGTTATTTCCCAAGATCTAGAAAAATGCATGATATATAGTATGTACCCAAATATTTGAAAAATTAATTAGCTATAATAATCAAAGACTAATGCAATATAAGTAATTCAAAACAGGAACTCTTTCAGCCATTTACAAATCAATGATATTACTTCTTTCAAAAATAAATTAGTATAGCACATTCATGGAAAATAGCTTTAAATGTGTATCTACAAATAAGCTCACTTAATCCTAGAGTCACTTTCAGTTTTCATTTTTGGATTCTGTAAGACAGTTTTTTGTTCAGAGGTCATCAGTATTCTTTTATTTAAATACCATAATATAGATTTGTTTTTCAAAATCTATATAATATAATATAGATTTGTTTTTCAGGCTCATAATTGTTGGCCATCTTGAGGTTTCAAAAGTCTTCTTCCTACTACATCTTCATTTTTTCAATATGTTCTTTCAAATTCTTTCTGCTTTCAGCAAATTGTCAGGACAGCTTCTACTGTAGTCATATAGTTTCTGACATGACATGCTGACCTTGCTTTCTGTATTTCATATCTTGGGATTTTTCTAGTGCTATGAAACCAGATTTCCACACTGAAAATCAATTTAGATGGTCTTTAGGTAGAATGTCATCCTGTGTAAACCAGCAGAGATGTCTGTTCATACAATTTAAAGTGCTGCACTGATAATCTGACCTCAGGTGACCATTCTTTTACTCAGTAAAAGGACCTACTGAAAAACTTTTTGTGTATCTGCACATCTATGTCCATAGTAGAACTATCATTACAGCCAAAATTAATGTTTTGAGATGCTATATAAAATATGTATGTTATGTGTAACACTTTTGTATATTGTATAAGAATGGATGTGTTTATTACATTTGAAGGCACACTGGGAAAATTGATGTTTCGTGAAAGTTGTATTTAGCTAATAGAAATAGACTATCAGTATTTTTACTTTGCTCCCAAGATAACTTTCTTATACACTGTAGTTTGTGTATGTTCTTTTTTATGCAGAAATACCTAAGTGAACAATTGGCATCGTTCTGCTTTCAGTAGCAGAGATCTCAAAGTTGAGAACACGTTAAGAGTCACCTGAGGAACTTTCTAATACCAATAACTAGGTCTATCTCTGAGAGATTCTTTTAAATTGGCCTTAAGTTGAGAGGGACTGTCAAGGCCAACTTTCATTTGCTTTGTTTTGTTTTAAGTGGCCCAGGTGACTAATGCGTAGCCAAGAGAACCACTGCGCTGGAGACAACTCTTAAACATACTTACAAACACACACATGATCACCTTCTTAAGTTTCGTTTGAAAATCAAAACCAAAAACTTGAAAGAACAAAATTTAGGTTCAGTGCAGTGCATGTATTGTTAAGTGTTTTAGAATCCTTGCTGTTGGAAGTGTGGTCCTCAGACCAGCATTATTAGCATCACTACCACCCTGCCTTGCTAGAAGTTCAGGATTTTAGGGCTTCTCTGTAGACCCATGGAATGGAATGAGATCCCAGATGATTTTGTGTGTGTTTTAAAACTTGCGGAGCACTTCTTATGTAAATAGTCTGTGTAATAAAAATGGATAATTGGAATTTTATTGCTTACGCATAAGATTCTCAGATCTGTGCATTGGTCAGTGACATTTTCTTAAAATACTCAAAAAATATTTTAACAAGAACAGTAGGGGCAAGAGTTGTTAGGTAGTGAGCTTAAAAGTTATTAGAGGTCTCTACAAGGCCAGGGACTACTACTGCTTATCCTAGTTGGTTCTTTGGTTCTTATTTTGTTATGCTTCTATCTTTCCCTCTCCTTCCCATTCTGTTCTGGCCCACTCTTCATTGTAAGTTAGAACACATTTTTGACACATGCAGTTGAGGATATTTGTGATAATGTTTGAGAGGTGCTACATGGTTTAGAAAATTCGGTAGAGGTAGGTTTAGAGCTTTCTATGCAGGGATGGATATGGAATCAAGATTTAAGGGGTGGTTCTTAATTCCTTTGTTTTTTAATTGTAATAATAGTGACTTCATAAATAAGCTGATATTTCTCACAGAGGAACAAGAATCAAGAATCTGTTATTGAAGTTCACAGTGACAAAATACTGTAAGATTCATTCATATATATATACATAGATATATATGAATGAATATACACATATGTATGTGTGTGTGGAGAGAGAAAGAGAAGTAGAAAGAGAGAGAATGTGGAATGGTCAGTATGAATGTTCAGAGATTATTGTAAATTGCCATTGTTCTTATATCTAGTTGTTTTAATTAAGAAGCCTTAATTAACAAAAAACTTTGATACATATGATAGTGGATCTACCTCCTTTTTAATAAATTGCCAAGTTTAAAAAGGGAGCATTTCTAAGTACAGTGATTAAACATCTCTTTTTCCTCCTGGGTTTCTCTTTAGGTTCTACTTGACAACACCTATAACCAACTTTGGGATATGGCTTTTATTATTCAGCAACTAAAAGATGAATTCCAATGGGCAGACATCTGGCACTGGAACTTGTACTGTTTTTTTAGAAACTGGAAAATCATAACTACACAATGGAAAGGGTAAGTTTCTTTAATTCCATATTTATGTACCCATATCTTGTTAACTGTGGCGTGATGTAATTTTTCACATAAGGCTGTGAGTGAATTGGAACACAAATATGAACTGGTAGTTTTTGCTTGAGTGGAAACTGACATAAGTCATTAAATATAATGGAGGGTTTAAATGTATTTATTATTCTCATGATTCTGATTTCACATTTCTTGAAGTATGAACTTGGTATGTTATTTCTTTCAGTTATTTCTAATTTGGAGATCACAAAATTGATTTTTATCCTTTTAGATCTTATTTTGTTATACTTTTCTGGTAAGTACAATTGGGATATAAAATATATACAGAGGACGTTTTAAACTTGTGCATGAATTATAATTCTCTTCTTTAGAGCAAAACTTGATTCTTTCCATTATAAAACAGCTACTGTATTACTGACCAGTGTTTTAGCCTTTTTCTTTTGGCCAACCAGGATAAGGTCATCTGTTGGGCACATGCATTTGTTCTCATACAGGCAGACACCCATTGCTTCTAAGATTCCTGCCAATTGGTGAGTCATTTTATTGCTGTGACTTCAAAGGGCTGTGATGCATGGCTGACATATCTAAAGTTGAAACTGTTTAATCAAGTGTGATAAACTCTGATCTACAGGTTGTTGTATGTAAAGAATTTATAATTGGTGCTAACTAGCTTTGAGGTGTTGGAGGATGGTAGTGTTAATTCTTGCTCTTTAAATGTAATTTTTCTTGTTTTCTTGGTCCTGAAATACTGATACTAAGGAATAGTTGTCTCTTCCCCACTTAAGGCGCGTTAATGTTGGTTGACATCAACTGAAGAATTGGATATATTGGAATTATTTCATCTAACATCATCATTTTTGTAAAAATAGTATATAAGAAGTGAAAGTTGGATGTTTTTCAACAGAGAAAGTGAATCTAGTTTTTAAAACTTCACTTTATATGTCAGTTAATGCCTAAGAGTGGATTCTCATTAAAAAATGTATGTCTCCTTTGCTTAATTACTAATGTGAATCCTTTTAGTTTCTGTTTGCTCACTGGAACTTGAATAGGTAAGAATAGAATTGAATTTGTTTTTTTGGGAAGGTGGCTAGAAAAACTTTAGTTTTTTGCTGCATGCTGTCAAGTGTCCAGACATCCCGATGGGGTCTCCTCTCCTTAGTAAGAGTAGCCAACTCATCAAATTGAAAGTTCTGAATCCGTCATTTTTAGCCAAACCCAAATAGTCGGTTACCCAATCTTAGTTTGTTCTCTACATCTATAAAAAGGCCTCATTTAGATTGTGATTGGTCATTATTTTGGAAAGGAGATTTTACAATATACTAGCTTCTGTTGGGGTATTAAGGACATGCTTCTTTTTTAAAGAAATAATTGTCCCAGTGATCTTAGGTAATGCCAGCCTACCTCTCAAAGAAATAAAACATGAATTTTAAACTGGTTTTAAAAGTTGATTCCAGGGTCTTCAGTTATTTTTCATTTGTATGTAATATGTTAAGATCATAGGTGATAAATAAAAATTGTTGGGCTTTGGTTTTATATGAAGTCTTCAGAGCCACTGTCCAAATTTTGCAGTCTTTCTTAAAAATAATTAAAATCAAATATTAATTTCTCACATGGAAAAAGGTGATTTTACAGTTAGACAACTTTGTTAACTAAGGTACTGTTTTTTTCAAACATAGTATCACACACATAAGTATGCCTAGATTATTTGAAAAAAATCACAAAATCTTTCAGTCCATTTAAATAACATTGTTGCTTTTATTAAATTTTAAGCTACAGCATCATTCAAGGAGAAAGGCCAAGGATCATGATCTAATCAAATCAACACTTGTAGGTTTCACAGTTGGCTCTGATGAGGGCTATCTAACTTTAGGCAAAGAGCTGGGTCTTAATTTGCTTTTGTTTCTTATGTAAGATAGGAATAATAACGATCCAAATTCCTTACATGATTGACATTGTGATAATGAGGTAGTAGGTGGAAAAAAAAGTCAAAAAGTTAAGAGCACATACTATAAGGTAGAGTTTTAGTATTAGAAATACTATTTAATGATCAGCATACATGGAAATTGCCTTTTATAGCAATGATATGGCGTTCTTTTAGAGTAAGCAGCAAGAAACGTCATCTTAACAGTTTTACTTATAAGTAAATGTAGCTGGGGAGAATAAGTAGCTGGGAGAAAGTATACTTTTATGTTCAAATTATGAGTGCAACTGAATTTTATTTATATAAATTTATGTAATATGTTAAGACCATGGGTGATAAATAAAAAGTGTTGGGCTTTGGTTTTATATGAAGTCTTCAGAGAAACCACTGTCCAAATTTTACAATCTGTCTTTCTTAAAAATAATAAAAATCAAATAATAATTTCTGATGGAAGAAGGTGAGAAGTGTATATATATACACACACTTACATATATTTTATTTCAAGTCTTACGGTTTATAAACACTTCAACTAATTTTCCTTTCAGTGTTAAGGAATTTTAAGTGGTCTGGATGTTTAGGCATTACTTTTTTTTTTTTTTTTTAGATTATTTATTTATACAAGCACTGGGTACAGTCAGAAACACGGGAGGGTGAGAGAATTCACCAGAGCGGGGAACAGAACAGGCAGAAGGACCGAGGTACACTGCTGAGGGGAGCAGTGGGCGTGGCAGGAGAGGTCTGTCACACCATGTGGTACCCTCGCCGGTGGCCATGTTGGACCCTCACCAGTGGCCGGGGATCGAACCGGCACTGCAGAGGCTGTGGGCAGCTTCGCAGCCCAACGCTCAACCGCTGCGCCACCAAGGGAGGCCCTAGGCATTACTTTCTTTGGTCAGGTTCAGTGAATATTAGAACAGCTTAAAAAATCATTTCTCTTAAGAAACAAAATGGGTGTACCATTTTGCTTTTCTTGAAACCTTGTATGTATCTGGGATAGTATTTCTAGATTATAAATTCTTAGACTTCTTATAATATTGTCTTTTTTTTTTATAATTAACTACATAATTTATTGGTACTCTTTTTTAAGGTAGTTTGGAATTGCTGTGCAGTGACACTTCTAGGTTGAAGAAATTCCTTCATGATTTATTACAAATTGGATTTGCCAGCAATATAGTCTCTAAGTTTTTTTCATTAGTGAATATTTTTTTTGTGAGTTAGAACTTTAATGATTTATCAATAATATGTTGTCTCTTACAAACACGTACACAGTTTAAGACAAAGGAGCAAAGAATATGCAGTGGAACAAAGAAAGTTTGTTCAATAAATGGTGCTGGGAAAACTGGGTTGCTACATGTAAAAGAATGAAGCTTGACTACTACCTTATACCATGCACAAAAACAACTCAAAATGGATTAAACAACTAGACTTAAGACCTGAAACCATAAAATATGTAGAAGGAAATATAGGCGAAACACTACATGACATACACCTCAGCAACATCTTTAAAGACTCATTACCCAAAGCAGTGATAATGAAGGCAAAGATAAACAGCTGTCAGGACTACATCAAATTAATATTGTCTTTTAAAAGTAGTAAATTAGGGCCTCCCTGGTGGCACAGGTGGTTGAGCACCGCTCTGTGAGGCTGTCCACAGCCTCTGCAATGCGGGTTCGATCCCAGCCGGCACTGTATTTCGTAAGTCTGCCTGTTCTGTTACCCGCTCTGTCTCTGGTGAATCTTCTCACCCTCCCGCACATCTGGCCTGTACCCTGGTTTTTGTATAAATAAATAAATCTTAAAAAAAGTAGTAAATTAATAGTAACAGCATAAAGTAATTGGTAATACAGTGTATACGTTAGTTATCTATGACTGTAGCTTCCTGTAGTCTCAGGATTTAGACTTTCTTAATCCACACCTGTAGGTTTAGAAGAGGTTGTTACATTGAGTAGAATTACATAAGATCTGTTGCTTATCTCATATAGCTTATCTCATATAGTTTGTCTAAGTCAGAATTCAGTGTGGACTTATTTTTACATAAAATGTACCCTTTGCAATTATAAGAGGAAATTTCATGAGGCCCTGTGATGACAAGGGCCAGAACTGAAATTTATTGTTAACTATTGATGTCTGTGAGTGCAAGAGTCTGTGGTGTTTTTGTTTTATTCATATTCTTATATCTAAAATGTAAAAAGAATGTTAGACATTTGCATCTAAATGTAAAACTCTACATACTAGATAGGGCCAACTATGGTCTTTAAGATAATTGAGATTTGAACCCAGATTAATTTGGCTTCAAAGTATATGCTTGGCCTTGGGGAATATAAAGGTAAATAAAACACCCATTGGGTTGATCTTGCGGACTAATAGAAGAGATTGACATATGAACTCAGAGTACTTTGTTAAAAGTTAGATGGGTTTCCAAATGAGAGAGTGACTTAATGCTGGGAAAAGTTTTCCAGGGGAGGTGGCCTTTGAATGAGTCAGATTGTAAAGGAAAAGAGAGTTTCCTGATGGAGAAGGGCTACCCTTTGGGATTGTAGCTGGCTGTAGAACTTGCAGAAAGGCACACAGAGGGAGTGAGAGGGGATGGCAGTGTGGAGCTAAAACCAGGCTTTCACTTTACAGTTTTTCTCTGTAGGGAAACAAAAAACAGTAGATATTTTAGGACAGAGATGGAAGGATATAATAATAACAATAATAACGGTTTTAAAGATGCATTCTGAAGGAAATTTTCAGCAGTTTGGTGTTGCAGAGAATTCTAGTTGTTTTCCCCTCTTAAAATCATCCAAGTAGGAAAGACCTCTCTATTCACATGTAAATGCTTATTCTAAGTGACATTTAGTTAGCATAATTATTCCATATTTAGGAAACATCTTTTAGTTTAAGTATTAAAGGCTCATTAAATAAGAACCCATTAAAAATTACCTATTCAACTTTTATATAAACTTGTAGTTCAAAAGACACATCTAGATATTTAACTTGAGTTTTTTAGATAATTAGATGTGGTAAAAAGTAATATTGTTTGGATGGGCAGAATACTATATAGTTTTCTTTTCAGCAGTTCTTTTTTAAAATTATGTAACAGGGCTTGCTTATCATTGAAATTTTAAGAAACAATAATGAAAACAAAGGTTACCTCTAATCAGTAACCAAAGATAACCTTTTGTGGTAGTACCCGTCATTAAGAAAGGTCCTAGCGGTCATTCAGGTTGCAGAGTTCTGGTCAACCAATGGGCTATATCTATTACTTCTTTAAATTAAGAAAAAGTTTAGCATCTTTATTTTAGTGACTGAATTACCGTGGTACAATTGAGAGTTTGGTTAAGTTCATTATTTTAGTGTACATTCTGATTTTCTTTTAATATCTAAGGTCGCTGCTTCAGCTGATGAAAATTTTAGCCCATTTGATTAAATACTAACACAAAATTTAGTTGAAGTTGCTATTACTGTTTTCTTACTATCATTTAGGCATTCCTCAGAACACGAAGCAAAAAAGTAACCTTAGAGGCTATCTGGTTCACCTTATTTTACAAATGAGGAAACTTTTCTTCCAAGTTTTTTTTTTTCAGTGATTTATTACTTTAGATTTTCTTTGGTTAAGCTTGATTGCAGTTCTCTTTGCTTCTGGTCAAACTCTTGTTTTTCCATCTCTCAGCCATTGGTACAAAGAAAAAGGAGACTGAAGAGAGGAGATAGCATGTGCCAGCGAAGTAGAAGGAGCCGGTGTATGTCTGGGTATGATCATATAAACAACCTGGAAGGAAGGTATGGTTTCTGTTAGTGAAGCACATCAGCCAAGAACCTGCTCCTTGAAGGAAGAAGTCTCCTATACTCAGCAGTCTGTGTTGTGACCCATCAGAACATTAGTCAGTCCATATACCTGTCTTACTTTCTATTGATAAAGTTTAATCACTTATTCCTTAGTAGGAAATTGAACCTGAGGGGACCCAAAACTTACCTCTGACCTTTTAATGGAAATTGGAGAAAATTAGGGACACATGCCTTTTCATGATGAATCCTTACTAGAAGGCCACTTTTATTTAAAAAATAAAAATCATGAATTACTACGACAGTAAGTCCTCATTTAACATTGTTGATAGGTTCTTAGAAACTTACGACTTCAAGTGAGACATTATAAACAAAACAAATTTTCCCACAGGCTGATTGATATAAACAAGAGTTAAGTTCTTGGCCTATCATTCTATTCATTTGTTCATTTATTTTCCATCATGCTTATTCCAGTTCAGGATCTTGGGTGACTAGAGCCTTTCTAGGCAGCTCAGGGTGCAATATGGGACCCAGTCTTGGACAGGATGCCCTTCCATCGCCAGGCACACTCTGACACACTCACTCAGGGACAATTTAGACACACTAGTGAACCTAACATGTCTTTGTGGAAGGAAACTGGAGTACAGAAGCCGACGCAAGTGTGGGGAGAACTCCAGACTCCACACAGACAATGGCCCCAGCCTGAAATTGATTTTTTTTTCTCCTCATCAGCATTATAATTCGATGACCTGCTGTATTTTCTAGGGGGAAAAAAAAAACAGTTGATTACTACCTTTTTTCTTCACTGAATAAACATTTGAGTAACTTAATATGTTCCTAGCAATATGCTAAGTTTTGAGGACATAAGGATGAGCTAAGATAGTCATGACCTCTTATCCTTGCAGATCTCACAGTTGATTATGGAGGTAGGTTTTAAAAATGTTAATTACACATGTGTTATGGACTATGAAAGGAATGTGTTTAGGAGGGAATGTGTTAAGTAGTATGTGAGAAGGAACTGACAACTTGGTAAGTGGGCTAAACAAGAACTGTTAGACCCCCTATAAGCAAAATGTTTTTTTAAAAGCAAGAATGGAGCAGCTGCCCTTCTGCCCACCTGTACCCATGCAGGTGCTGCTCTTCACCATCCTTCTCCCTGGCAACAGCTCCCCTGCCCACTTGTGACTGTGTGGGCGCTTACTTTGCTTGCTTCCTCTCTTTGCAGAGGGGCAGAGGCAGTGCTCCTCCCAAGGCTGCCTGCCTGTTGCTATGTAGGTCTCTCTTTAGCAAACTTGTCTCTTTCGAGGCAACTCTTTGTGCTTGCTTGTGACTGTGCAAGAGTCCTTTATTCTTCTCTCCCTTCTTTATAATAAACCTACTGTTTTGGATATAAAAAAAAAAAAAAAAGCAAAAATGGGAGGGTCCTCAAAATCATTTGGCTAATGGCACCAGAATTTAAGTGAAATGTGCTTTTTAAAAACTGTTGTGGCGGGCCTCACCGGTGGCACAGCAGTTGAGCGCTGGGCTGCGAAGCTGCCCGCAGCCTCTACAACACCGGTTCAATCCCTGGCCACTGGCAAGGGTCCCACATGGCACGCAGACCACTCCTGCCGCACACAGCTCCCCTCAGCAGTGTACTTTGGTCCTTCGGCCTGTTCTGCTCCCCTCTGGCTCTGGTGAATTCTCTCACCCTCCCGCGCTTCAGACTGTACCCAGTGCTTGTATAAATAAATAAATAAATCTTTATAAATAAATAAATAAATAAATAAATAAAAAACTGTTTTGGCAAAGCATATTTACGCAAGGTGCCAGCAGTTAAGCATTGTTGCAAAGTCAACCCTCTGAAACAACAAATAGAGTCTCACTATTTTATGAAAAGAGTTTTGATCGTATAAACTTTCTGAAAAATTCTCAGGACCTTGGAGTACCAGCTGACAACACTTTGAGAATCTCTGTTCTAGAGTGTTGTATGCATGTTACGTTTGTAGTTGCAAATCACACTTTTATAAGTTTTTATATTTAAAGTCATTTAAAAAACCTTTAGAATTTAAGGCTATCTAATCATTTATTTAGAAAATTTTGGTGCTATGTGCCAGTACAGTTCTGGGTACTGAAACAAATAGAAAACATCTTTCCTCCTGGAGCTTACATTGTATCTTTTGATTTTGTTTTATATCTCAGCATGATTTCTCAGTGGATGTGTTGAGTATACCCTTTTCTTCCTGTCTGATTATATATGCTATTGTCTCCTATCCTTTTTGTTCTCATTTGGCTCTAATCGTCTTTAAAACTTTCTTTTTGTTTGTTTCATTAGCTTTATGTTCCCTTAATGTAATGAATGAGTAGAATGTTTTATGACCTCTTAAAATTCAGCTTTGGGAGCAGTGCAGCGAATTGAGCACAGAGCTGTGAACCTGTACAGAAGCTGTCTGCAGCCTCTGCAGCAAGGGTTCGATTCCCGGCTAGCCAGGGAGATTCCCACATGGCGCAGCAGACCTCTCCCGTCTTGCCCTCTGCTCCCCTCAGCAGTGTATTTCAGTCAGTATGCCTGTTCTGCTCCCCGCTCTGTCTCTGGTGAATCCTCTCACTCTCCCGCGCCTCTGGCCTATACCTCAGCCAGCGTATTTGAAAAAAAAAAAAAAAAATTCAGCTAACTTTAAGTTGCTTTTTACTCATTACACATCATTTGATCAGTGACCTCAATTAAGTGTTTATTGACATTAAACAAAAATGAAACCAACTTGGGCAAGTCATGATGTTGATTGTAATTGACCATTTGGTACAGAGAAATAGGTCATCAGTCTCTCAACTCTTCTAGAAATTTCTGGAAAGGAGTGTGGAAAATCTTATCATTCTTGACTTAGACCCATCAGTGTAGCAGATTTACTAGTAAATACCTGTGAATTTTAAGACATAGGAATTAGAAGTAACACTCTGGGAGAGGAATAGGAACTCTTGGACAAGAGGATAGATGGTGCTGCTGAAGGGTAAGAAGGTCATAGCTAAAAATAATGAAAATGGGTTTTTTATAAAACCCCGAGGGACTAAAATAGTTTTAAGAGAAAACTGCTGCTAAATCACTTCACAAATCTGCCTGCTTCAGATTTACCTGAGACACATGTTAGACATACAGATTCTTTGACTTCCTCATGCTCATAACATCCAGTTTTGGTTCTTGTATACAATAAATTATTATACACATTTACTTCTTATATCTTTGACTGTCACCCTTGTTTGGGACAGGCATGTCTAATGTTACTGGGATAATTTAAAACAACTAAAAAGTTAGGGCTCAACTAAAACAATTTTACAAACCAGTTTTCTAACATGCAACAAAAAATGATTATGGAATAATCTTTCGAGCTTGATATTTATAGGATTCTAAATTCAGTTTTTTAATGTCAACATGTTCAAGTGATTCCATTATTTTATGTTAGGTCATGTTTAAAAGTTAAGCATCCTGTCTAAAAAGCATTCTGTACTTCTGTTATCTCAGGACTTGACTGTTGAGCTGAGTTAAAAGTCTTTTTTGTTAAGATTGGTACTGTAAGTTAAAGTTGGAAATAGCGCTATAAGACCTTTAATTCTTAAGTTCCTTGATGCTAGTTCAAATTAGTGTTTGAGAATCCTGTAAGTGACTTGGCCTGTGTTAAACCAGCTGTTGGGTTGCAACATAGTGGCAGACTCCCAAGGTATACAGTGAGAATGTCTTCCCTTGTCTCTAGGGCCACTAGAGCCACAGACTGCTTATTAGCAGCCCTGTCATTTTAGTTTGGATGGCTGTACAAATATTTTTTTTCTTTTTTTTCCTTAAAGATTTGCATATTTATGTATACAAGAACCGGCGTACAGGCCAGAGGTGTGGGGGGTGAGAGAATTCACCAAAGACAGAGTGGGGAACAGAACAGTCAGATTGATCGAAATACACTGCTGAGGGGAGCAGCGGGCGAGTCAGGAGATGTCTGCTGCGCCATGTGAGTTGCTTCCTGGCTGGGGATCAAACTCGTGCTGCAGTGGCTGTGGCAACTTCATAGGTTGCATCTTAACCCCTTGTGCCACCAGGGAGGCCCATTGTACAAATATTTTTTGTATGTGCCATAATGGGAAAATTTGGGGAGACTTGATTTAGTAAATTTAAACGTCAGGATTTTTTAAGATAGGAACTCTCTAGTAATAAGATTTACTGGGAATGCTTTAAATATTGGCTTTGTCCTGTTTTATTAAAAAGATTATGGTTTGTGTTAATGATTTTATAGTTTAAATCTTTGGCCTTGCAAAGGAATATATTTGGAAAGGAAGAACTACCTCCCTCCCCTTTTTAAAACCACAATGGAAAGCTATTTGAAATTCATTTTGGGGCCTTTCTGGTGGCTTAGCGGGTTGAGCTCAGCGCTGTGAAGATGTCCATAGCCTCTGCAGTGTGGGTTTGATCCTGGCCTGCCGGCGAGAATCCCCCAAGGTGCGGCAGACCTCTCCTGTAGTGCCCGCTGCTCCCCTCAGCAGTGTATATTGGTCGTCTGCCTGTTGTGCTCCCTGCTCTGTCTCTGGTGAATCCTCTCACCCTCCTACGCCTCTGGCCTGTACCCCAGCTCTTGTACAAAAGTAAATCTTTAAAAAATATTAATTTTTAATGTTTTTGTAGGTATTTATCAATCATAGGAATACTGAATCAAATTAAGATTCTGTGGGGCTTTGTTGTTTATAGGGAAAATGATCAGTGGATAACTAAATCTGTTATTTTTCTTTGTTGCTTCAGGGTATAGTATATTCCTCAGGATTTAGAGGCCAAAATCTTTGCTTTCCCCTCTCACTTGTGCTCCTGTTAGCCCCAACCTCCAGAAGGGATTTATAGCAGACTAAGAGGTTGAGTTTTGTTTTCCAAATAGAATTTTAGACCTTAAAAGATTCTTAACTGACAGGCTAAAGCCATAGAGGGCATGGTTGGCAAACAAGGATGTAACAGAGATAAGAAATAATCTGTCACTTCATGTTAATGGGACAGAGACAAGCTTAGATAAATTCCCATTTTAGTCATTGTCTTCTCTTATAAAACACAGATAAAGAATAAAGAACCAGTGCAAAGTTACCAGTTTTACTCCATGGCATTTCTGATGAGTTATGAGGTTGACAAATATTAACAAGAGAGAAATGTGCTTCTTCAAGAACTAGTTAACTTATTTTGGAGGATAATTGACTTAAAATTACTTTTGTGAAATATCTGCTTTATTGAAGGGAGGTTCAATATATTTTAAGATCATTTTAATGTCACAGTTAAGAATGACTTCATTGGGGGGGGGCGGGAGGGGAGGGATTGGGGTCAGAATGGGGGGTTTGCAATTGTATGGGGGAATATAAAAATAAAATTTATTATGAAAAAAAAGAAAATGCATACATTGTGCAAAAATGAAAAATGATGTAAAAATATATAAAAGAAACTAAAAAAAAAAAAAAGAATGACTTCATTTAAAGGTAAGAAACATGGGTTACAGTACCTAACCAGATTTTCAGTGATGATGTAGAAGAAGAATGCAAATTTGAATTCTCATTTTTAGAGGCTCTATACTATTGTTAGCAGTAAGTCCTGCAGTGTATGTGGCAGAGTAAATGCAATATCATGAACCAGTAGCTGTAGAAAATCACTGAGAAAATAGCTTTTGTTTTCTCTGCGTCCTGCTTAGCAGCTAGCAGAGTGCAGTGCTATTAAGTTGCTTGATACTTACTGAATGAATACTGAGTTATAACCTAGTACTTATTTATGATGTTTTATTGGAGTTTTCAAAAGATACTTCTGGTTGATGTAAATATGTATACTAGCATAATATGCATTTGTCAGTTGGGTGTGGGTGGGGTATGTAAAGGAGAGAGGGGAGCTACTGTCTGTTTTATTTTATTTAATTAATTAATTAATTTATTTATTGGTGGGACCCTCGCCGTAGGCCGGGGGAACGAACTGGTGCTACAGAGGCTGCGGAGCCCAGCGCTCAACCGCTGTGCCACCAGGGGAGGCCCTGTCTGTTTGATTTTTTTTAGGCAGCTGTATGGGCCCCTTGCTGGCTGTACCTTTAAGTGAAACTGAGCCTTTAGCATTTTGAGCTCACACATCAAATGCCTTGGCTTTAAATTTGGGAATTTCACATAAGTATGCTACATCTGACTTGTATATTGGAGAATATGATTATATACTTGCTTTCCTCTCCTCCCCCCTACCCCCTGGAAGTACGATTTTGGATTGCTTTCTGCAGGTTTACTTTTGTAATGTAAAAAGGTTTTAAAATAACAATACTTTTATATTTCTATAACTTTCTAAGTCTTCCTTCTTAGTGGCAGCATGTAGTTCTGAATGCCTCTGCCAGCACATTGGATTTGGATGAGTGATGACATTTGGCCAATACTTAGGTCAGGTAACCTAGAACAACTCTAAAACCAACCTAATCTGAAGCAGGCCCTATTAATAACTAAAATTGAATTTGTCACTGAGTGTTGGAAAGGAATAGGAGGCATGGCGTGGGCAAGGCCAGTGACCTGTGGAAGTGCTGGTGGGAAGGGGAGGGGTTGGATCATTTTTAACTTACCCATTTCAATTGCTGTTGGGTAGTTTTAGCAAAGATCTCATAAAGAATTTTGTTGCTGCTATCTTTCTTATATTTATAGCTGAAGAAGGTATTTAAATAGGTTTCTTATATGCTCTATATTTTTTAAAAGAAAAAAGTATTTTTCAAAAACTTAGTTATCTGATTCCTAAGGGCGTCCTCTGCTTTTTTTCTTTTTTGGGCTTATTAAAATATATGTATATGGCTAACTTGTTTTTCTTTTTCATTTCCATACAGGAAGGAGAAAAATATTGTTCATGTAATTGATGTTACCATTTTTAATGAGTGTTTTGACTGAGGATTATTGTGAAAAGTGTCACTGTTTGCTGGATTCCTAATTTAAAATGATTATAATCTTTTATAGCAATTTCAACTCTTGCAATTGGTAATAACAGATAATAGGTAAGTAAAAACTGAGAATCTCAGATAATCTCTGAAGATCTAAGTTTGATTGGGAATTTACTGTTTATAACCAATAATTCTTTTTAGTTAAAGCTCAAGACAATAATATAACGGGCTATGCTGTTGAGAACTGAGATTTCTTTGATAGTTGCTGTTGGAGTCATCTTAGGAACAAATCTAATGGCCTTTGAAAAAAATCTTCTCTCTTTTCAGAGAGGAATCAATCACTTACAGGAGCAAGAACATTGTAAAGTTTCTCCTTTTAACAAAATGTTTAGCTTACTAATGTAGTCAGTGAAAGATCAGGATGTAGAGAAGGACATTTAATTGAATTTTGTATTGTCATAATCTTGTTTAAAATATTACAACTTCCAGACTAACTCTGCATAAACTTTTCAGCAATAACTTTATCACTTCCTTGGCTTTTTTGTAGAATCACTAAATTTATGATTGCCTAAATAATATTCCCAGACTTAGAGGGTAAAATGTATTATGAACTCTTTGTCCTTACTTATAGTGCCAGAGTATCATGGCCTTTGGAAAAGAAAAGGCTTGTAAATTTTATTTTAACTCATTGACAGAAAAAAATGTATTTTATATCACATATTTATATTACATGGGGGGTATGTATGAAGTAAAAGTTTCACAATAAAGTGGTGCACTCTGTTTTCTAATTTGCTCTATTGTAGTTCTATCCTTTTTTCATTAAAAAAATATTAAGGAAGCTCATGACCCAACAGCTTGAGTTCAACACACACACAATGCATTTTCCTTTTAAGTAATGGTCCTCATAAAACTTACCTTGTCTTCAAATATTGAACTCTTTAAACTTTTGAGATGTATATAAAACCACATAGAGCAGAAGCTCTCTAAACATGTAGTTTTGTTGTTTACCTTCATCATTTGAGTTAGGTATTCTGTGTCCTGGTACTTACTACCTCCCTACGCTTGTGGCCTAATAGGCTTGAGAAGTTCTGAGGCATCATGGGGTCTGCCAGTGAACTAGGATCAAGAGTGAAAAAAAAGTGTCAGCAAACTGTATTTGAGCTCTCTTTTCTGTATCGTGTAAAACTAAGCCCTGGCCACAGAGGATCTCTGCTAGGGCACCTATGGTATTATGTCTCCTTGTACCATTTCCTGTATAACAATCCTGGGCTTGGCTTTTTTATATGTAGTATAGGCTGAGTTAGACCATGGGAAAAGTTGTATTCGTAAGTACAAATAGAGAGTTGGTTGTATATTTGTATAAATTTTTCCTTTAAAATGGGTATGCCTAATGGAATCTCAGATAATGGTGAGTTTTTCCCCTAACAGTAATAATTTTTATCATCCCATGTTTACATACTTTTTCTTTTGCTATTTGCCTTTTCAAAGTGTTAAGTTTATAGAGATGCAAACCTAACATCATTATAAAACTTAATTTTTAAAAAATGATAATGAAGCGAGAGGAGAATTCTTTTCCTTTCTCATTTCAGGACTGAAAGAAATAAAGGAATTTTAGGCTGAATTCCTTTTTTGTGGTTAATTGGAAGTGCTGTGTTAATTTATATAGTCAAAATACATTGAGAACTACAGTGTGTAAAATACCAAAGTTATTTTTGTCAATCTTTTAATGGTCTTGTATTCAGCAAACACATAATGTTCAGTTAAGTAAAAAGGGAATGGAAAGCATTGCTTCAACTTTAAAACTACCTTAAATAATCAGAACTCCCCCAGTTTTACTATACTTGTGTTTAATGTTTGCCTGTGGTCCCAGATACCCTCTTCACAGATCTTTAGGCCATGTGTCTTCCTACCTTTGATAGAACAGATAGACTGTGAAGGACCTTCATACTTGTTTGAAAATGAGAGATGTAGGGAAGCCCCAGATAGAACAGGACATGTAAGGCTAACCCTGTATGGCCCATCTGAAGAACAAACAGGTCAGGCTTGCTGCTTTCAAGGTCTATAAAAGTGACTCCTATTTAGATGAAAAATGGTAGTGGTTCTTTTTTTAAGTACAGTTCTTTGAGAATATAATAAAACTCTGAATGGTCTAAGCAACCAGGCATTCATACAATCCTTGATCTGAGACTTCCAAGAGAATATAAGATTATGCTGAGGGGCTTCCCTGGTCGTGCAAGGGGTTAAATCTCAGCACTGTGAACCTATCAGCAGCCAGTGTAGCAATGGCAGCCACTGTAGTACGGCAGCCACTGTAGCACGAGTTCGATCCCCACCAGGGAGCTAACCCACATGGCACAGACTTCTCCTATCTCCCACTGCTCCCCTCAGCAGTGCATTTCATTCAGTCTGTCTGTTCTGTTCACCACTCTGTCTCTGGTGAACACACACACACACACACACACACACACAGACACACACACACCCTTTGGCCTATACCCCAGCTCATATATGCTGTATGCATAAATAAATAAATAAAATAAATCTTTTTTTTTTTTTTTTTTTAAAGAGCATGCCGAATGCATATCTATTAACCCCCAGGTTCTCATATCTTGGTGATGGAGTCAGAAAGTTGGTACAGGGACAGCATAGATATCTTTGGTTTCTTGTACCCTGATACTGTCATTACATGTTACCATTATTCTTGGATCAGTGGTTTCTTTCATTGCTATTGAACATTGCTGAGAATGTGGCTAAGTTGTTACCTGCGACAGGTGGTCCAGAAAGGACAGCCATCCCAGCAAAAAATCCTGCAAGTCCTAAAAACCTGTGTAGTTTGGAATTGCCAGACAGATCAACCTGTAGGGATTAGAATTCAGTGTTAGCTGTATTGAGGTTGAAATTCTTTAGACAAATACTGTCTTAAGTCATCTCAAACTGGTCAGTTGACTTCTGAGGAGATTTAAATGGTCTTTTGCCCTGATACTGTGAAAGATCTGAAGCAAATAGGGATTAGTAACATAACTAGGTGGGTATTGTTTTCAATTTATTAGTAAAAAACACTGGTTTTGGTCCTTTTCCTTTTTTTATCTCTTGGGTATTTTCTCCTGGATCTTCATTCTCTTCTCTATTAGGAAATGATATTTATAGTCAGAGCTGATAGTCCTATTCTTGAATACATCTCTGACTGAGTACCAGTCATTGGTTTGAAAGAATTCAAATGTCACAGGTGTTGATTTCAGCTTTGGAAAGCTTCGGTTTTACCTAAACCTTATATCCTGCAGCACTTCTGTTAATATTGCTGTTATTCCCAGGAATTCTGTTCTGGTACATTGGGGACCTAGTTCTGAGACAAACCCATGAGGTTCTCAACTGTAACAACTCAGAAGTATTTGTCTAAGTATTTCATTTCCATGTGAGTCCAGTACTTTTAAGTTAGTTTGGGGTGAAAATAGAGGAGATTTTAAAAAAGAGCAATGTCCCCTTTAAGATAAACAGAACTTCTTAATACAGAGAAATCAAACTAGTCAAAAAGCCCCTTTTTCTCTCAGGGAACTCTTGTCTTACAAGGAGGCAGGAAATACCTGGAACTGAAGGAAAGTAGTGAACACACAGGTCTAACCTGGGAGACTGATAAGTCTCCCTGCAGATTCCTTGTTTGCTTTCATTTCTTTCTGTCCCATGTGAATAATCCTCTCATCATTCCTCCCTTTCCTAGGTAAGATGAATAGCTAGACGGGATGTATCTGTAGGATTTCGGAGGCCTTGGGTATCATTTTTCCTTTGGGGGAAATTATTACTAATTTTTCTTTTTACTAAATGGTTAACAATGTTAAATGAGTGTCTACTTACCAGAACAGGAAGTATCAATGATAGGTAACCACCAGAGAAAATGGCAAAGAAGACAGTGTAGGTCATCAGTAGTGGAAATGTGGTGGCTAACGGAGCAAGCAGGTTTGTGATGCCACAGAGGATGAGGTAAGACTTGTAGTAATGGTACTTTCTGATCCAGTTTTGGTCAGCCACCCATCCGGATATAATTTGACTGACTGTCTCTATGATACCTAGAACAATATAATAGGTCTTAGGAAATTGTAATTGTTTTCCTAGCCTGTTTGAAGAAATGTGAATACAGTAAGGCATCTTTTCCTCAGTAATACAATTTCATCCTGAGGTAAAGCTATGTGAGAAAAAAATTTTCACTTGGCTCTGTCACTTACCTATTTATTCCAAGGACTCACCAAGAGCAGGGTAAAACATCCATTTGAAGTTTTTTATGATCATGTTTGGTGAGCTTATACCACCAAACTGGGAACCCTGGTGACAGAGGACCCTGGATTCAGAACTCGGGAGGTCTTCCTTGAAGAGGTTCTACAAGTGAGGAGGTGAGATTCTAAAAAGACTAGTTGACCCTCAGGTTAGTGTCATGTTGGAAGATTATAGTATGAAAAATTCTTATGTAAAAAACCATACGTATTAAGGCTCTGACAGTTTTGATAATTAAGTCCTCCTCCAAAGATGATTATGCTTAACTTGAAAATAAGGAAGTATGAAATGGGAAATCATAGTTTGAACGTTGGAGCTAGGGTATAATTTGAATAAAATTTAAGAACCACATTTTTCATTCAGTTTCATGATAGAATTCTTATCCTTTATCCTCTTACAAGCTAATGCAGCAGTTAAGTACTAAAAGAGATTTTCACCAAGAGAAGTATGAGCTGCAGTTTTGTACTTTAAATTTTTGTGGTTCAAACATAAATTGTTCTGCCCAAAAGGGGTGGAGGGGATGGGTTTTTGAAAAAAGCATACTATCATTTCTGTGCCTTTTTACAGTTATTCTTAAAATACATATTGAGACCTTGGTCCCAGTGGATAGCCCTAAGTTAGAATTTATACGACCAGGTATTTAGTGGGAAAAAAATTAGTTGAGCTCTGTATCTTTTCCTTGTATACTTAGGCTTATTTGAAACAGACTATCTACACCTGGAAATGGGGTGTGATTGCTTTTGTAAGGGCTTAGTAAACAGTGTTTTCAGGAAATTAGCAAGCAGAAAGTTAATGTTGAGTTACTGAGCACTTCCAGATAGTTTTACTACTAGTTCCATTTCATCCCTTTTCATATTTTTAAACTGCATATTTTGTCACTTGAGAAAACCCTTATCTTCTGGATCATGTTCTTCTGATTTCATAAATTATTTTTCTTACTAAGAGTTCAAGGGGAAAATACTTTGCAAATATTAATAAAACATTATTGAATGCTTGTGAGAGGTCAGATACTCTTCTAAACTCTACAGGCATTACTTGTTTAATACTGACAATCTTACACATTTAGGTAATGATATTCCATATTACAGATGAGGAAATGGAGGTACAGAGAAGGCATGTAACTTCCCCAGGGTCATACAGCTAGGAAATACAGAGCAAGGAACTTGAACCCAAGGAAGTCTATGTCTAAAACCAATCCTTTCAACCACTAGAAATGCTGTCAGAAATTTTTCTATATCTTGATATGGCACTTGGCCACTGAGCATCAACTTTTAAATCCAGTATTTATCCAGCAGATACTTAATGTCTACTGTATCAGACAGACTCTGCCATATGCAAATGAATAAAACTTGGTTTGGGGGTCCGCTATCAGGGAGAGCCTGTGTGCAGAGTCCAGTGACATATCTGTGCAGAGAAATGCCTGGTGCCTTCCTCCTGAGCGAGAGCCTCCACAAACTTGAATTTCCTGGGGCACCCAAAGTTCTATTTAAGAAGTTGTTTTTCTTCAGCTTTTTAATAACATTTAAATTTTACCTTTGTAAAGCTAAGTTCACTTTTCCTTCTGGGTATAAGATTGAAGTTGACTTTCTTACCAGCTACAGAAACAAGATAGGAGGCTTTCATCACGTCAATCTCTAGTGTTTTGGCTCTGGCGACCAGGTGAAAGGTAGGGATGAAATATGCAAACTGACTGAGGAGAAAAGACCAGGTAAATATGTAGAAGAAAGGATTCTTAAGAAGAGAAGTATCAACCAGTTCTTGTTTACAGCTCCAGAAAGTGACCTTTTTCTTGTAACTTTCTTCATTAGTTTTTAAGAACAATCTTCTGTTCTTATTAGGCCCGTTGTTGAATTCTTCACCATGATCTTGTGAGACTGTTACACTTGTATCTGGTTGCCCAGCCTTCTGCACATTATTGTCCCTGGTGGTGGACTCTATTATCTCACTGCAGTGGGATGTTTCTACCCCACACTCTGCCTCTGGACCACTTGCAGACAGACGGCTGCCTTTGTCTTTAGGATTAGAATTGCTCGCACTTTTGATGTGGATGGGTCTTAAGAGCATACTAGATGGTACCAAATTCAGTATGATAGCTCCAAATAATACAAGGGCACCTAAGAGAGAGAATTTGAAAAGTCATTTCACAGCACTGTTAGATACTTGGCTCAGAAGATGTCCTGCATGAACTAGTCAAAGTGCAGTAATTCCTGAAAACACTATTCTGTTCCCTGAATTTAAGTCTCTTGACTTAATTGTTAGCTGTGCATATTGTGGTGTCTCTGTGAAAACAGCCCTTTGGAGGAGATTGAAAACCAGGAAGCTGTGACAACAGATGGCATGGAAGGAGTGTTATTTGTGCTAAAGGGAAAAAGAATGAAACCAGTTTTTTTGGGGAGTGGATATTTCAAATGTCGGAAAATTATAGTGTATTTTAAGTAGAGATTCTAAATAACCTGACAGGATCTAGATTTAGGTACATATAGCAAATATACAATTAGATGATGGGAATCATTTGGAAACTGTCTTAGAACAGGAGACAGTCTCATTCATTAGAGACATTTTAAATTTCCTTGAAAGAAAACAGATGCCAATCTTGCCTTTGAAGCTGAGTAGTTACTTGGTTTCAGCATGTCCTGACCCATCTGTGATTGTGTATGGTTCTAGAAGTAGAATTGACTGTAGGTTCTGTCCTCTTGTCCTACGGATTTGTAGCTGGTCCTGTTCACCTTGAGTTTTTTAATGTAGGAAAGGTTCAACAAAACTGCTATGCAGATAGAAATAGGTATATATAATCACACAATATGCATATATTTTCCCAGTAATATAAAATTTAAATTCAAATGTTTTATGTCTGGTGTAAAGAAGTTGTGGTGTGAATGGTTTTAATCATTGGCAAAAATTTGTAGCTGGCAGTATGTAAAAATTTAACTCTTAAAGAATATCATCCTCTTTACCCACGTATTCCCTTCCATTGTAATAAGTCTGATGGAGGAGGCATTATTTAAGATGCAAACTACTTTTCTTGATAAAGTTTAAAAAGAATGTTTTACTGGAGGAGAAAGGGAAGACGGAATACTTGCTTCCCAGGAGTACCCCATTTCTGGAAGGGGTCTCCCCAACTGCACAGAACACCATATACCTCAGACATTGAACCCTGTGGTGAACTCTTGAGTTGTTGGTATGGGCTGCAAAGTCTGCAGGTTCAAGGTCTCTTCTGTGTAGTCTTAAGGAAGAGGAGTGTGTTTACTTTAGATAACATGTTCATTTCCTCTCTGACTGTAAATGTCTGCTTTTCCAGTTATCAGAGTTTTAGAGGGCTGAACACTTAATCTTGCAGAGATGTTTCAGAAGTTTAGAACGTCTCACCTGTCCAGTCGTATAGATCTATCAGGAATTTTGTAAAGGGTGCTAATAGAAATGTCAGTCCCATCCCCGAACGGGCAATAGCTGTAGAAAGACCCAACCGTTTTTTGAAGTATTTGGTAATTACCACAGCAGCTACTTGGTATAAGAAAGCAGAACCCAAACCTAAAAGAAAAACAACAGCTTGGAATCACATTCATGTTAAGTGACTTGGTACCAGAGGATATATTCTCCGATACCAAAATAACTATGACTAGGCCTTTTGGACCCATGGACAGTTAAAAGGGAGGGTCCCTAGTTCCATCTTTCATAGTCTTGTTTTTACAATGGACTTACCAGGTAAAAATCCCATGGTCACACAAAGAAAGGGAATGCTTGTGGCCCAGCTGCTGATCAAGTATCCACCAGCAACAAGGAGTGCCCCAAGAATGGAGGTGGTTTTTTCTCCAATTATGTCACAAATAATGGCAACCAGGGGGCCTTGGGAAAAGAAAGAATGGTAAACACTATGCAGATGTGCTTCGCACCCCTTGTCTGCTGATTTGCAATCTAAGTCAGCAAGGTTGGAAAATCGGACTCTACTCTGGAGTATTGTGTAGCTTCAAAAAGTGAGCTGGGTTTCTTAACATTCCCATCCCATACTACTTTGCTTTTTGGAAGAGTTTTTATTTTTTAAGAAAGAACAGGATTGTAAACAATCAGGTTTGGAGGAGAAACTTACTGAACATACATAATAAAACCTCCACAAAATGAGATTGCATCTGGCGGCCTATGACTAGACCAAGTTTACATCATTAATCTGCTCCTCTGCCATGTTATTGCTACAAATAAAACTAGAGGAGGAAGAATTGGTTCTCTGTTATGTCTTGAGTTTGCTTAGATGAGTAGAGCAGAACTTCATGGTCTGACTTTCCAGAGAAGCTGACTCATTGAACAGATACTAAGGCACTGTGAAAAGAAACAAGACAAAAAATTGTGTCATGTAATTAAATACTTGAAATCTTCAACTTTCTCTGAACCCTAATTTTTCCCATTTACCAAGTCAGTTGGGAGCTTTATGTATTACTATTACTAAATGAACCTGAGTGTTAGCAATACTTCAGTCTGAAGTGATTGGCAGGTGAGTCTTCTTGGAATTGCCCATTGTCACCGTGATCCTTCACCGTGGACTGCACTTACTGACTCATGTATACCTGCAGAAAAACGAAGTGATGACATGATGGAGCCAATCCAGCCAATTTGCTCTGAGGTGCTGTCAAACTCTTCTTGAAAAACCACAAAGAAAATTGCAAAAGTCTTGGTGAGCCCCATCACAATCACATTTACCTAAATCAAAGCAGACCAGAGAGTCAGGCAGTGAGTGAACTATTGTAGAGGAGGTTGCAGTTGCTTGAGGTTATGAATCTGCACCCCCCACTCCCCGCCCCCCCCCCCACCCCCGCACACTAGTATTTGCCAGTTTGGTGGCTCCTGCTTATACATTTTAGGAAGTGGCTGTCACTTTAGAGTGTCTAGGCACTTTATATGAAAGTGTCTCATTTAATCCTCATTTGAAGGCTACAGGATAGGTATTAGAGGTCAGGAAATTGAGGCTTAGATTAAAAGTTGCTGAAGATGGAGTGCTGAAATCTGAACCTGGAGAGATTTACTGCAGACCCTCTCTCTCTCTACCGCCCTCTTAGAATATCATCTGTTAAAGAAGCTAACTCCAGTTACTTTGTGAAAGACAGTATTGTCCAAAATATAACTAATTATTCCTGTCAATTTTTAGGGTAGCTATGCTTTAACTCTGCTAATAAGCTGTACTCTGCTCTTTTACTTGATGTATTACTAGGGAGAACGTGTACTTTATCCGAATTGGAAAACTCTGAAAGCAAGAGGAAAACCTAATTAATGCCAGCATGTAAGGGAGGGTGAACCAGGATGTGTGGTCACCTTATGAATGAATCATATGCCCCATCCTTTTCTTGGTTCCCACCCTTCCCTCCTTGCCTAGGTGATCTTCCCTTCCACTAGGCGGAGCATTCCATTGAGGTCATGTTTTCTTTCTATGGAGCCCTGATGTTTGTTAATTGAAATTCTGATTGGCCTGTAGTAGCTGTGCCTCCTCTCTTCCTTTTTTGCTTACCAACCAAACATCTTCTGCAGGGCTTGGAGGGAGAGCAGGACAGGAAACCTAGGCAGAGTTCAGTCATTCAGAGCCCAGGCACCACATGTACTCTTTCTGTCTCCAGGGGACTCCCTACCTTCAGGGAGTTTTCCTTCCCCTTTCTTCAGTAGCCTTCGTTTTTCAAGGTTGCTTTCTCTACTTTCAACTTGGCCGTGCATTGTTGCTTAAGAACCACAGAACCCTGGGTCTTCTTTTACTTATCCTGCTTTCATTGTCCAACTGGTAAACATTTCCCCCCCTGCACTCATCTCAGTTTATACCTGCCCCATAGATAATTCACTCTCAAGGGCAAACTACTCTGCAGAAATTATACTTCTTTTGAAAAGAGGTAGAGGCTTATGGGACTAATGAAGATCAACTGAGAAGGTTTTGGTAAAATTCTTAATGTAATTTTGTTATCTTGTGTAAATACTACTTTCTCACAAGCTTCAGACTCCTTTTTATGACTAATATATCTTTCTAGCTTCAATCCACTCAAACAAACCAAAACACATCTTTCCCTTCTCTTTTCCTTTCTCTTGATTGGTATTGTCTACCTGCTGAATCAAAAACCTTCTTCCTGTTAGGCTCCTTCCCTCAGCCTTAAGTAATCAAGACCTCCCCTGTTGAAAATCCCATCACCAGGTTCTTCAGACTAGTACCATTTTTTATCTGGAGTAAGGGACTAAGGATTAGTAGTGATGCTCTGAGGTTACAGAAGTTGGGGGTGGTAAGGAGGTATTCTCTTAATACATTTTCCCATTCTGAGTTGATAGAACATAACGAAACGTTCCTTATTTAGAGTGAACAGCGCTCTGTGGGCTGTGTGCACACCAGGGCTGTATATTCAAAAGTGATAAAGACATTTATCAGATGCTCATTCAGGTAATTTTTAGCCATAACTTTCCTCAGTGTGTTTGTCTGGAAATGAGATGGGTGATACACACAGATCTCACACAACCCAAACTGTCCCTCAGTTCAGAATTCACACAGGGGGGTATGTATATACTCTCAAGAGCAGGGAACACACAGTGAAGCATCATTCTGTAAAATTATCCTTTTTCTGTAAACACGGTTTCTGTGCTGGTCATGATGCCGATCTTGATGTTCTTAGCTACCAGAATTTGGCTAACTACTGGTCCCCCTAGTTCAGGGCCTTTCCTTCCTGGTTTGTCCTTGATGTCTGCGCATAGTAGCAGTGAATGAATACGATCTTGTCTGTAATAACTGGGTCTGCGTTATTCATTTTATATCAAGAAGGCCAAGGACTTAGCTTTTTCATCTGCCCTGTCTCCTCTCCATTTTAGCCTTTCCAATTTTGTGTTTTGATTCCAAGATCCTGAAACTCCCAAGGCCTGGATTTTCCCTAGTTAATTAAGCACACTGGATAAGCCTGTCATCCCATGCCTTGGCTCACCATTGGGTTTTAGTCCTGGCCACATCAGGCATTATAAATGGACTTACCCCAAAATAAAAGTGCTTAGAAATTCTGCCACCGATCAGATCCAGTTCCCTTATTTACTTTTTGCCTTTAGCTTTTCTGCCCCCTCCAACTCCTCCCCACCCCTACCCCACACATACACCAAAAAAGAATTCCTGTACTAGATAATTCTAATTAGAATATTGTCTTGGGAAAGGAGATTGGATCAGGTATAGGAGCCTTTTTGCATACAGAACATCAGACTGTTAATTATTACCTGATATAATTAACTGCTTTTTTCTGGCGTAAGTTCCTCTACAGTATAACCTTAGTTCTTCCCTACCTTCACAGACAAACTAAAGAAGTCTGTTATTTCTACCTCTCATCCCAGCACTCGATGGTACTGATAAAGAGATTTCCTTGTTGCTAAACTGTAGCCATTATCATTTCTACCATATCCGACCTCAGCGGCATATGCCCCACACTTCTTCCTGAACATTCCTACCACAGCTTCAGTGATGATACATTTCTGGGTTGCTCTGGCTGCTGTTTCCTCTGTGGACTGCTTTGAACATCTCCTAGACATTGATTCTCCTCAGGGTTCTGTTCTTCTTGTTCTCCCTCTGGTGGTTTCATCCACCAGGGCAAACATACAGGGCCATTACAAGTTTCAGTATGCAGATCCTGTGCTCCAGAGGCATATGGCCTATTCCGAAAACACTGCTTTTGTCATGAGTCTCTCAGACTCGGTGAGAGAATAGCATGCTTCTTCATCTACCTTGTCCAAGCCAACAACTGAAGACTCCTTGACTCCCTCTCTCTGACACCATTACTGTCCAAGTCATAGGCCCACCTTCTCCCTATCATCTGTATTTTCTCTCTGTCCCTGTTGCTACTGCCTTAATTTTCTAACCTGGATTATTGCAACATTCCTTCAATGCATCTTAGTGCTTCTAGTCCTTTCCCCTACCAACCCATTGTTCACTTTGCAGCCAGAGCTACTTTCCTGAAATACATATTTATCCCATTACCCCTGCATAATTTTTCTCTTTAGTTCCTTTTAGCCTCAAGGTAAAACCCAGTGCTCTTAACATGTCCTCCAAAGTCCCTGCCTATCCCCCTATCTTTTATCACCTTATTTGTTGATTCCTGAGTGTGTCCATTAATCATGTTTATCCTTCCATCCACTAGCAGGTATATATTGAGTCTCTACTATATTAAAGTAGTGAGCATAGATTGGTGAGCAAATAGACATGGTCCCTACCCTCATGGAACACTCAGTGAGACAGAATACAAAAACAATGTGTAAATATATTGCTATAAACTCTGCTAGGTTAGATAGAATGAATCCTTTTTTTTTTTTCTTTTTTTTTAAAGTAGGGAACTTCCAAAGAACATTGAGTTACTTGATTTCCTCCCCTTTTCAGGTTGAGGAGCTGAATCTTTTTGGGAACATATACTTTAACTCATGCAGAAACAAAAGCATAGTCATCTAAGCACCTGCATTACAACTGTGGGCAATTAGACTCTGGTTTAATTGTTAACATTTTGAGAGCCCAGTGTATTTTTTTTTGTACTTTTATAAAGGCACAAAAGGTAGCATAAAACCCCAAAGTGGGATGATGTTTATTAATCTGGTTATAAGACAGTATTTCCTTATCAGTAACAATATTGGTGAAATATCTTTCTATCTCTTGGGGGATAAATTAGGAAAAGTAAGGGTGGTTACAGGGGGAAAAGATGGGAAAACTAGAGATCTTCACTCATATCCCAGTTGTGCAAATCCTATGATTTGGGGAGGTGGCCCACCTGTAGGAAGGGCTTTTATTAATAGTTAAATTTTTTAGGAGGAAAAAAAAAGTCCATTATTTGGTAGTGAAGCTAATGTTTAACAGATAGTCTTCTAGTTAGTTTTGCGTTACATAAGTCCTATCTGACGACCTTTGCCTCTACTCTTCCCCCTTTTATCACTGGAGGGGAGGCATGGTGCATTCCCATTATCCTGTTTATAAAGAACTTAGTTATCCACATTGTAGACTACAGGATTATTAGTCACCAGGACCTGCCCTTCCCTGTGAGCTTCTTAAGGATGAGCAGGGAGGAGAGTTGGGAGGGAAAGGGTATCTCTCTGAGTATTCTTAGTTAACTGATTTGTGGGAGAGGGCCTCCCTGGTGGCCTAGGGGTTAAGTCTCAGTGCTGTCATCACTAGGGCCTGACTTCGATCCCCAGCCAGGGAGCTAAGCACATAATGGTACAGCTGACCTCTCCTGTCTTGCCTGCTGCTCCCCTTAGCAGTGTATTTCAGTAAATCCACCTGTTCTCCCCACTCTGTCTCAGATGAAACCTCTCACCCCCCAGACCCCACACGTCTGGCCTACAACCCAATTCTATGCAAAACAAAACAAAAACAAACAAAAACACCAACTCATTTGGGAATATTAAAAAGGAGTTGTGGAGCGGGCTTTTCTGTAGCTTTGGGGTGTAAGTATGGTGTGGTGGGATTCACCAACGTTCTAGAACAACTGCTAATGACTCAGACTCAATGCAGGATCCCAACACTTTCTGGGTAAGAAAAAGAACTTAAAAATGGAGTGCCTATTCTAGTTGCTTATGGCTGAAGGAGAAAAATCAGACTCCAGTTTCAGAAGCCACATCCTCTTTTTCTTTTTTAAAGATTTATTATTTTTATACAAGAGCTGGGTACAGGCCAGAGGTGCAGGAGGGTGAGAGGATTCACCAGAGACAGAGCAGGGAGCAGAACACGCAGACAACCAAAATACACTGCTGAGGGGAGCATTAGGTGTGACAGGAGAGGTCTGCCGCACCATGTGGGATTCTTGCCAGCAGGCCAGGATCAAACCCGCACTACTGAGGCTGCGGACAGCTTCACAGCGCTGCACTCAACCCACTGCGCCACCGGGGAGGCCCCACATCCTTCTCTTTTTCCAGACAGAATGAGCCTAGTTCTTGTGTAAGCTATGGATGATGGGGCAATGTGGGAAGTGTATTTGCCAGCAGAATAGAAAGGAAATACCCCCATGTCCTATCAGAAGGTTGCTGCCACCAATGTTAGGTATATGCGGAACTGGACTGAGGAACTTGCCCTTCTCGCCTCCCCATAATCACTTTTTAGCACTTAGTAATGATACACCTGTGATGGATGTGTGATTGTCCTGTCTATGGTAGCTGGTGTCTGGAACATTCTGTAGGTTTAAAGCATGGTAGGAGGAGACTGGATGAGAATGCTGCTGCTTTCATTCAAGGGGGATGTTTTCAGTTTTCTCCTAGATTAAGTGTGGGCCCCTTGCTCTACCTGCCTTCCCATTCAAATGCCAGACATTTCATAAGTGACCTGGCTAGACTGCTCCAGTCTCTTCAGAGAACCTTTCAAGCTATAGGGAAGGGGGAGGTAAATTCTTACCAGGAAGAAATGCAGCACAATCATCCATCCCCAACCTCCATCTGGGGTTCTAGTGTAGTGCGGGCCTTCCCCTCTCTCTGCAGTGTGGCGCTTCATCTTGTTTAAATGCAGAAAATCCCTGTGAGAAATTCAAGATAAAATTGATCGTTTGACTGATTTAAACTTTTAAACTTTATCTTACTCTGTGGCATAAAACTACTTGCACTGTAATTCTTTTAAAAGCCTCCCCCCCCATTTTAAAATAGGTGATTTTCTCTCTTCCCCCCTTCCCCCTGCCAGGAAACAACATTGGGGTTTATTTAACAAAACAGGAGATTGGGGAAACAAAGCTCTGTCATTTCTTAAAGTTATGGACTAGATCTCAGCCTCAAAAGTACAAGCAGGACATTGTACCATCAGGGTTTTTTTTTTTTTTTTTTTTTTTTGTAGTGTTCTGGCTGCCTTCGGGTGACAAGTCCGTGTGGCTTTGACAGTTCATTGGAGTATGTCCTTCATTACAAATGAAGTGTAACTGACTATAATGTCCCCTTATCTCTGCTTATGCCATAACCATGATCAAGGCAGAACCATGGAACAGATGAGAAAAAGCTAATAAAAGTACTGTGATTTAAGGGATAGTAAAACCACCACAAAATTCTCTTTTTCACCAGCTTGAATGGCATCTGAGAGATGACCACTCGTTTTACAGTTTATATCAGGCAAGAATTGCAAAAGAGTTAACTAGAAAGCCGGACCTCACTGATGTGGGCTTTCCTCCCACTACAGTCCTCAAGTAAAACCTGGGGTAACCTGTGCATCACCCTCTGCCTCTTGGAGAGTTTTTGACTTTAGAGAAATAAATAAGGGAGGGGTGTCTGGAGCTTAGTTAGGTATTCCTTAACAAAACACTTACTAAAATGGAAATGTTTTAAGGGACAAAATAGACATGGCAGCAAAATGAGTGGGTGACCCAAGTGGGTTCTGGATTGAAAGAGTTGTGAAGGACAGTTGAGGGGAACAACCAGCGAAGCTGGAGGTGGACTGGCTAGTAGGCACGATGGACTCGGCTGTGATGGCAATCTTGTGGTTCTGCAGGGGGTGTTCTTGTTCTTAGGAGATATGTGCTCAGAAGTATTCGGGAGTATCAAGAGTCTGCTACCTTTTCACAGATCAGTAAAATACATAAAAAACACATTCAAGAGAAATAGTGAAAAAAAGAAAGAAAAAATAACTTCAGAGCAGGAGGGATGGCATTCTTCATTTCCCACTGTGAGGGTGGCAGGGAGGTTTTTTCCTACCGGAAAGGAGACTCTGCCAGTTGGGCATGTGGAATAGCCTGGAGAGCAAGAGGGAGAGATGCCAGTCATTCAAAATTAACCCCAAACAAACCCCATTTTCATCTTACCTTTGATGTGTTCAGCAAAGGAATTCTCTACAGATGAGGTCATTTAGGAAGAAAAATAACTTTTACAGTTTTCTAAAATGTTACTCTTTTTCTAACACATTTCACTGGTTGCACTGTGAAAACAAGTGAGCATTGTAAGAGCCAACGAAGTTAGAGCCTACTTAGGCTGTCCTGCCAGTGGACTTTACTTCCTGAGGGGAGGAGAAAAGACTGTGATTTGATGTCATCCTAGGCCCTCCTTCCTCCCACGCAGACTCAGAAAGTAGAATTTTTCACCGCAGACCCAGGCAAGCTTCAGAGTATAAACCAAGGAGAAAATCCTCTCGTAACTTGTTAAATGAGGAGGCCATTACACTGCTGTGGCTCTAAAGCCTTGACAGCCTGTTGAAGCAAACTAAAATCTAAACTGTATGTGCCTTAGGGTTAAGGAATTGAAACCTGAGGACAGCCAGTCACAAAAAGCCAACCAGACGTTTAGTTAGAGCCAATTGTTTCCTTGCCTTGCTCCCACATTTTCCTATTTAAAAAAAAAAAAAAAAAATCAGTTTCCGTCATGATGGAGCACTCCTAACTACTTCCAGTTTGGCAGTGTCTGATTTGAATGAATTTTTTCTCAGATTCCTAACTTTTTAATATGCCTCAGTTTATCTTTGAGCAGCTCCCTCTGAAGAGGAAACAGCCAAAGGAGACCCCCCCTCTCCTTCCCATGTGTCCCAGGAGCAATGAGCAACTTGTCTGAGTTACTCTCTGACCCCTTGAGCTCCCCGCTTTCTCACTGCCCCTGGAGGTCATGGGTAACTCCTCAGCCCTAGTGCCACAACTTTAGTGTTATAACCTGTCAGGCTATTTGAGTGTTTCTTTTTCTGGGCTGATTCCAGAAACCCTGCAGGGTCAGACTGTATCCAGCTTAAAAAGTCTGGAGCTGGGATGTTACTGGATACAGCGTGAGACTTTAGGTAAATAAAATTTTGTTTTAAGGCCAAATAAATAGATTAATTTTACCAAAGAAAATCTTGAATGTTATTGGCCAAGTAGAGAACTTTTCCTAGTTTATCCATTTTTGAAGCTCTCTAGAGAAAAAGGCCGTATTATAAAGGGTAGAGGGAAAATTATTTTTCCCCTACTAGTTTCTGGTGACCAAGGTAAGACTCATTGGGACACCCCCACTAACAGCAAAGCCTGCAGAGGGGGTCCTGGGAAAACTGGCAGAAGCCCACAAAAGTAAGAATTTTTACCAAGTCAGCTTTCTGGTCGCTGTGTGGCGCCTAAAGATAAAATTCCATGTTGTCCCTTTCCAAGTTCTGATTGGCGGAGGAAGTAAAACACATTTGTAGGAATTAGATCTCTGAACTGTGGCCCTTGAATTTGCTTTTGGGTACCCAGTGGTTGTAGATTCTTTCTCTCTCAGAAACAGCTATTGCTGCTTTCTTGGTTGTCTCATTTTGTGTCCTGAGAAGTTGTCTTGGCTTTCTGTGTTGGGGTACACAGGTTCTCAGTTTTAGATGTGCAGGCAGCTCAGCTGTTAGTTTGGGAGAATCCCAGTTATGGCTGGACAGATAAGTGGGTTGCATTCCACTTGCAGCTAGTGTCCTATACGCCATTACCAACTCAGGGGAGTCATCTAAGTCTTTCCTTTGTCTTTGGGACTGGCTTTGGGTCTTGGTAGTGAGGGAGAATGGTGTTAACTGGAAATAAAATTTCAATGATAGACAAAGGCTTTATAAGGTAATCAAAGTGAGGATTCAAACCCAGATTTTACTGTGGGAGAACTGTTCCAACAAACACAAGCTTGAATTTAGTTTATATAGGAAAAAATAATGAGTCCCTGGTGTTATAAAGTTAATTATTCTTGATGGGAGGTTGGGGGTTCTAGTTCTGCATTGTCCAGGCCTAAATATATACTGATGCTGTATATGCATAGGGGAAGGCACTGTAGGGCTTAATCTCTTCCTTTGTAAAGAATGTGCTAGAGAGATACAAAGAGTAGAGTTAGCCCATTGCTAAATCTTTTTTTTTTTTTTTAAAGATTTATTTATTTTTATTTATACAAGACCTGGGGCATAGGCCAGATTCGCGGGAGGGTGAAAGGATTCACCAGAGACAGAGCAGGGAACAGAACAGGCAGACTGACTGAAATACACTGCTGAGGGGAGCAGCGGGCGTGACAGGAGAGGTCTGCCGCCCCATATGGGACCCTCGCCGGCCGGCTGGGATTAAACCCATGCTGCAGAGGCTGCAGATAACCTCAGCGCTGCGCTCTACCGCCTGCGCCACCAAGGGAGGCCCACCATTGCTAAATCTTTATTTGGCCCCTTGGTCAACAGTAGAAATGAAGAGACTGACTCTACCCCCAGGTATCAGATTTTGTGTCAGACTTGTAGCCAGTATAGATAGCTTTGCTCTCCTGTCCCCCAGAGCAGGGAGAGAGGAGTCATTTCTGGAAACATTTTATACTATGTTCATTGTATCTGTTGCACCATCATTGGGGTTGCCCTGTGTCATGGTTAAGCCATAAAAGGCTTGTTGGTTTTGAGTCACTTGGTAGGGATAGTTTTGGCTTCAAAGAGCAGGGAAAAAAATAGGTTGTTTAGTACTGCCAGGAATATTTACTGTCTGTCTCCGGTAAAACCTGTTAATAAAATATTTGGAAGGTTTTTTTTTTTTTTTTTAAGAGAGTGAGACAACCTAGGTAAGAGAAGCTGTAAGGCAGTAGGATAAGAGTTGTCCTTACTCCTGTTTGTGCAAGTGGACTGAAATGTGGACTGGCAATTCCTGTCCATATGTTAGCAGGCAGGGGTACCTGGGGCCCCCAAACTGGCATGCTGTAACAGGATCTAGCCATCTGTGTGCACAAAGACAAAGCATACTTAGTGTGAAAGAACTAATAGTGTGCATTGAAAGAGAAGAAAATAATTTCCCAATAAAACATTCAGTTACCCATCCCTGTGTGGGTAAATGCCCAGCCAAACAGGGTTGGCCCAAAGTGGGGCCACTGAGGCCTCAAAGCTTGCCACAAATCTAATGCACCTTCTGGTGGGGAACCATAAAAAAGGGGGCCAAAGAGTCCAGACAAATCTGATTAAAGGAGCAATTCAAAGCACAAATCAAAGTGATGACTGCCACTGTCAGCTTCTCCATGTCTTTCACCCAAGTGTCTCTTCCAAGTGTCTCTTCCATGTCCCCCAAGAAGCAAGTGTACCCCTCTTCTCCACATGTCTCTTCTGTGTGTCCCCTATGTGTCTCTCCAAGTATTCTCTGAGTCCACCTGCTGTTACATAGCTTCACCTAGCTGCTCAGAACTGCCCCTCATTAGGTGGGACAGGGGACATGGAACCTCCCCTTGTATGGAGATGCCTGTGTTAACACTAACAGTTTGGCCCACCACACTGACCATAAGGCGCCATGCTAGACAAAAAGCCTTAGATCCTGACTGACAATAACTTCACAGTTTCCTGGAAAGAGCCGCAGAGGGCTGGCATGTTGCCGTTGGAATGTAACCCATCTGGTCTGTGCACCTAAAGCTTTCTAGTGAATTCTTTCCCTAGAGGGCAAAGGACTCACTCTTGGGTCAGGGCCTGTAACAAACTCTATCATCAGAAGGTGGCCAAATTGGAAGGTAATACTCAGAGGCTACAGGGGACCATTCCTTTTTTTTTTTTTTAAACTTCTCCCCTAAACTATGTACCCAGAGGGCAAGAAAAAACATTCTGAAGTCACTGCAGAAGGATTTACCAATTAATTGACAAAGAAACCTACCTCTAAATCTAGAACATAGGAATCTCTTCTTAGTTGGAAATCTAAAGAACCAAGTTGAAGATAATGTAATTGGATGGGTGAGTTGATCTCTTGATATTCAGGTTGCAGGTGTTTGAGGATTTAAAAACAACGGTACTGCTTTGTCTTACAAATCATTAGAACAGAAATGTTGCTCAATGCCTATTGTTCCTTCTACCAATCTCAAAACCTCCCCTATTCATCTCAGAAGGCCTGCAGATACTGTAAAGGAACAGAAACCCTTCTGGAGGAACTTAGGTCCTTTTGGCTTTTGAGATGCAGTGTTCTACTTGGTGAACTCTATCTGCTTCTACTTAGATGACTCTAGGGATCTAGAGTCAGCTCTGAAATGCAAACTTCAGGAAGGCAATTCTTACCTGAACTTTCTGTGAAAGTTCAATCTGAGATTCCTTATGAGAAAATCCAATAATGGTCAATCATTATTCTTGCTGCATTTATATAAATAATCAGGCCAAGTTTAGTGAAATGACTTAATTTGCAAACATTAGTTTTATTGTGATCATCTTTGATAGAAAAAAGGGTGATAGTAGAGAAAAATGTTTTAGTTGAAAACTAACACAACCTTGTGGGTATCAGATTCTAGTACTCAGTGATTGAGATTATGTTATATACCTGTAATCTGGACTAGGTCCTGAATATTTTTGTTTCTGCCACTGACTGTGACTCTCCAAACTAACAATTTTCTCCCCTCCTTATTTGCTATCAGTAGTTTTGTCCTTGAACCTCATTGGAAGGGACTGTACTAGTTCCTACTCATTGCCCAGACAGCTATCAACCGTGAAGGACTTGAATCTTGGACCTAGCCCTTTCAGTTAAAAACAACTCCTCCAGACTCTTGGAACTGCTCACCAACTGGAGATCTGAAATTAAAATTGACTTGGGCGATTCCTTTCAGAAACAGACAGCATCTTGAGGTGGGTAGATCTTTGCAGGTTATGGGTTAAAGTCCTCACCTCTAATCTGCAAGCTTTAATCCTTTTGCCTTTTCACTACTTTTTTCTCTCAGGAAAATAATTCTCCTTAACTGTGACTGCTGTTGCTGAGTCTGTTGCTCTTAGGCCTTAGCTATAGAACAGAATTCTCCAGGCTTTTTACTAAGGTGGATTTTAGGTAATAGTGTGGGGTCCAGTTAGTGAGTTCTTAGATTCCAATGAGAATGATTTCAGTAGAGTCCCCATTCAGCAATGCCTGGCAATTTTATTAAGGAAAAAGACATCTGCATTGACACAAACAGACGAAGCCTACATTTTAAAAGGACAATTTTATTAAGAGAGATACCTGCATAGACACCAGCAGGCAGTCTTAAGGCAAGATCTGCGTTTCACCAGAGTAAGAGGTGTCCTTATATATTGCTCTTTGGTGGAATTACTTTGTGGAA